AGTTTACACGGAAGCGTTTACACAGAGTAGTTTTTACACAGAGAAATTTTTACACAAAGAAGTCTTGACACAGAGAAGCTTGCACACACAGAGGCTTTTACACACAGAAGCCTTTTACACAGAGCGGCTTTTTCACAGAGGAGCTTTTACACAGAGGAACTTTTACACAGAGAAGCTTGTACACTCAGAGGCTTTGACACAGAGAAGTCTTTTACACAGAGAAGCTTTTGCACACAGAAGCTTTACACAAACAAAACCTTAACACAGAGGAGCTTTTACAGACAGAAGCTGGTACGCAAAGAAACTTTCGCAAACAGAAACTTTTACACACAGAGCGCGTTTTACACAGAAGATTTTACACACAAGAGCTTTTACACCAAAAACCTTTACACAGAGAAGTTCTTGCCCACAGAAGCTTTTACTTGCAGAAGCTTTTATGCAAAGAAGCTTTTGTACAGAGAAGTCTTTACCCATCTTTTATCATGTCTCATTTTTCATGATCATTTGCCATCTGTCACCTTCATATATATCTTCGTTTTCATGCTCTTTTGGTCAGCTCCCTCTGTCGTTTAATTTTCATTTCGTTCTGTCCGTCCACGCTTCGTGCTCGCTCCCTCTGCGGCGAAGCAAACTAAACGAGAACGCAGAAATAGATAGCGACTAGACAGATGGGATAGAGTTAATTACATTAACAGAAATAGCGACTAGAAGACTGTAGGCGTAGCTGACACAGCATGCTGTGGTGAATCGTGGCCCCTGATACCATCAGTGCGCACGATGTTTAAGTAAAGATCTTACGTCGATTTCGTGCAGAGCACAGCTGGCCACACCCCAAGATTTTCAAGAAAAGGCGTGCTGTGTGCCGTCTTGCTTTTGGGTTCTCTGGCCCACCTTGTTTTCCGGGGCTGAAAAAATCCAAGTGCTTCAACTGTTGGGAAAACATGGCAATTTCGATCGTTTTTTTCGCTACGAAGAAACCCAAGAATCTCCAGCGAAGTTCATCCGACAAGGCACCGGAGTGCGAATGCATTGCCTCAGCATGGCGGATGCCGAAGGTCCGGTCCCATGACTTAAACGTTGTTTCAACTTGGACTTGGACATTTTTTCCAGTTTATACAGGTTTAAACATGTTTAAACCATGTTTAAACAACAACAATAAATAGAGAATGGTGCGTGTTAAAGGGAGCGATTGGCACATCTTACCGCCACAAGCGAGGTAGGAGCCGTGTTAAACATCTGATCTCCGATCTTTCCCCAAAAACACTTCCAACCTGCTTGGAAGATTTCCAGTGAACTTCAATCCGTTGACAACAATGGAGAAGGTCCAAGTCAAGTGGGCCAAGAGCTGGTTATGATCCCATCGTCATGCCCATACTCCATGATTGCTGGTTAAACCATAGTCAAAACTTTAAGATTGTTTGATATGTTTCGATCACCCCCATATTATTCCATATGATTCCATATGATTCCACATTATTCCATATGATTCATTGCTGCTTAAACCACAGTTTTTTCACCCAGGTGTCCCGAACCATCAGCTGCTGTCGACCCCCTGCGGCTGCCTCAGCCATCCCAAAAGGATGTGGTACATTCACCAGGTGTCGATATTTTTTGGAGGTGTTACCCTCTGGTAAACTAACGTAACTATGGAAAATCACCATTGTTAATGGGTAAATCCACTATAAATGGCCATTTTCAATAGCTATGTTAGTTTACCAGAGGGTACAGATTAGCCATGATTAATCATGATCATATGGCGCCAAAGTAAAACTGCGCAATATCAAATTTGATCCTTTAAGTTCTTAATTCAAGTTCTGGATCCTCTACTGATATTTCACCTGAAAGGATCAGATCCATCAAGGCAAAGTATGTCTGCATCTCACCGAATCAGCAACGAGAATCACACCTGCACTACACTACACCGGTCACGCGGCAATCACTGGGTCACTGGGGCTTCCCACTGCTCAGGTGTCCAGATATGCTTGCTCTCACAGCTATTCGGATATGTTGTGTTCATGATAACCTGAAAATGTTTGTTCAAACATCTTCAAGCCACTTTTGCTGCTGTCCCCAATGTGTTTTCTTGGTGTTTTCTTTTTTCACAACCCAGCCATAAATGGCGACCCGTTTCGGGGGCCCGTTTCGGGTCGCTACGGCCCCCGTTTCGGCTCCCCAACGATTCCAAGAAGACATCGGATGGCTAAGGCGTTCCCAGCCTGTGCTGGGCATCGAGCAGATTCTCACGGATTTCGGACGACAACGTGGATGATTTATATCAGCAATAAAGGGATTCACAGGGATTTGATTTGGTGATATTTATATATATATATATATATATAATTATACATATATATATAATTATACACATATATATATATACATATATATATATTAATATATATATACTGTGTATATATATATATGTATAATTATATATAATATATATATAATGAGGTTATAACAAACAGGGTCTTCCTACGCATTCGAACATTTTGCAGGTGCCATGCGCAGGTCATGCGCGTGAGGCCAGTTTACCGCTTGAATGAAGATCAAGAACATCTATATTCATCAAAGGGTGAAACAATATGAGTTTGTCCAAACATGGAGCATATATGAGCATATCAGATATACCATGATATAGCAATCCATGGCGGTAAACAGCCCAAGCCTCCCCAACCTTTAGGCCTTTGGCTTTCCAAGTTGCCTAGTCTCCCCGTCTCCCCAACCACTTTCTGAGACTTTAGATCTCCAAAAATTTGGGACGCCGGAATTCGCCATGTTCACAATCAGATAATACGGTGGATCAGGGGTCACAATGCCCCTTCCTGACAGATCCTCAGTCAGTCAGTGGAATTACAAAAAAAGCTCCCTGTTGGGCACATCACTGCGCCTTGCACATTGTTTGCAGCAGGAACGCCAACCTTGGTTCCCAACAGTTGAACATCGTTTGTGCATTTGGCAAAGGTCTGATGGAGTGGTTTTCTGGGAGGCCAGACCCTTCACGAAGTTCCAGCAGCATTTCCTTCTTCAGAGGTTCCCTTCCCTCAGCCTGCAGAAAGGACCCTTCTGAAGGTGGCCCATGTTCCATTGGAAACATGCTGGTTTCACCTATATATATATATATGTATACACATGTATATTCAATTGATATATATATATATATTCAATTGATATATATATATATATAATATATATATATATATGTAGTATAATATAACTAGGTCCGGGTATTTGGATTATCGAATTGATTTTTGCAGACACACCACCTGAAATAGAAAGTTGAAAGCATATATGCAGCATAGACATTGTATTTATAGAGTCAAGACAAGAATGTCTAATCTACCTTTCGGTAAGCAAACCTAGCTTACCTGGCTCAGAAATGTGCATGTTTTAAGGAGAAATACCAAACATCGGCCATAAATGGTCAATATTCCAGCTAGCTTAGATTAGATTACCCAAAATATCGGTGAAGCATATTATGCTCGACCATCTAGGGGAACGATAGCAAATGTGTCTTGAACAAATCATTGCTGTGTCTGGTGATGTGCTTGTTTACTATTATGAGTATGTATCAATTATCATTAATTATTAATATTAATAGTCATTATTGAATTCTATTAATTGTTCAGTCTGATTGTTATAGCTCTCAAATGCATCATGTACCACGTCTGACAAAGGTACCAGGCAACAACTAACAATCTACAAGCACACGGATAAAGAAATTGAACACGGAGCACCTTGAAACATTTAGTCCCCTTCCCCTAAATATTAAGATACTCCCCGAATGTCTCGGGCCCCATGAATAGATCCAATGCAAAACCTGTTTCAAGGGTATAAGTCATGTAAGATCCGATACTAAATACCATGGTTTTCAGGGGCTATTTGTTTGATTTCCCAAAAAATAAAGTACCAGGGTACTCCCAAAGCATCCATGTTGTTTTCGGATGTTCCATTCTAAATTCAGAAAATCAATTCAGACAATCGGACTACCCAAAGATGATCCCTAAATTGATGTTCTAAAATTCATAAGCTATCCATTTTCAGGTACCCATTAGTCATTAGTCGACACCTCCATTGATTCTCCTTCCATCCGCCTGAAGGCAAAAAAACTTGGCGCAGCTGGTGACCTCTTCGGAAACATTGCCAGCGGCATTCTCCTGGGGCCAGCTGGTTGTCTGTTTTCCTTGGTGCATTACCCAACCTGGTTATGACTAACATAGCCATGGTTTTTCGATGGCCCTAATCGAAATAGACGGTTTACCTATAAATAGCATGGTGATTTTCCATGACGAACTGTTAGTCATAACCAGATGGTACGTGGGATGATCATGGAAACCAGTGGATGAATGTGGACTATTTGAGATCGCCGATTTTCAGAGAAACCCATTAAAAAAAAACATGTCACACAGAAAAAATGGCCATTCTTAGAGTGGCTGCATTTGTTTGAGAAGGTGGATTAGCACATATATAAAAATATGTGTTACAGCAAAAAAATAGTGTTTTTTTTACAGTGGGGATGTAAAGGTTATGCAAATGGGAATGTTGATCTAAACTTACAGATTCTGCTAAAAAAAACAACAAACAAAATCAGCTGTACTAAACTAGCCATCCAGTTCGCTTACCCAGCAAAGTGGTAAAACGCTGCTATGAAATGGATATGATGATGGGGATATTGACCCAAACAGGCCTGGATATTGAATCAATGGTCCTGATATGTCCTGATTGCTGGTTTCAACCCATACCCTCCATGTATGCGATACAAAAAAAACGATGCAATTTTACATCCAAAATGGTGTAAATGTTCACAACTTTGTAAGTATCCTAATTGGACACTATATATATATATATAAGACACAGGAATGGGGTGGTAAATCAGCAACATCCAGTAAACATGTCGATATCAATCGGCATCATCATCCCTTTTTTCTGTGTCGTCGCTGGCAATGGCACGCCAGCGAAAATGGGCGTCTGATTGTCGCCAAAAGTACCATGTGAAAACATCAGCGGAATGCCACGGCGTGGCAGTCTCCAAGAGCGATGTGTCCTTAGCCATGGAGGAAGGTGAGTTATGTAATGTAATTATGACTTGTTAGGTTGGACAAAGTTTTGGCCGACCAGGCCAAGGAAAAAAACTATTTAACATTAAATTATTTGTCCCAAGGAAGTTATATACAGTATATATGTATATATACACATGCAACACAATCATCATCCAACTACCACCCCGAAAACCACATGGTGACACACATGTCACATGCATAGCATGCATAGTCACGCTGCTGAAGCCGGCCAAAGCATGTGATCTGCAGGGTGCCAAGCGATTCTCGCGATCTTCACCGAAGCCCAGCTGTCCTTCCTCGTTTTTGCCCCACAGCCACCAGTCCCCTGCTGTGCTGACAGCAGCCGAGAAATCGCCGCCCAAGACCAAGGAGGCAAGGCCTGGGGCATCACCAGGGTCACTTAAGGGCCCTCATGCAGTTGGTGCACGGTTGATGGTGGTTTATTGAGGCTCTAACTGGATATCACATGATATAATATGATACAATGTGATATAATGTGAGACAACTATGACTATATAATAGTTTATGGGGTTTATAACAATTGGGGGCCTCACCTTGCATGAGCTGACGAGTCCATCTGACCAGTCCATCTGCAGGGCTCAATGCAAAGGATACTTGCCCCGTGTAAGCACAACACATGTTTTGGTTGGCTTGTGTATTCCAGGGTAGATATGAACAAAACAAGAACCCCTTGACCTTCCAACAAAGCTGTATCTGTATTGTTGATGCCCAAGTTCCCTTATTTTCTGAACCCATGTTTGATGGTTCAATATCCCCTTCCCAGGTGATCCTCTGCCATGGCACCTTCAAAGTTGGGGATGGCCTTGGGTTTCAGCACATTGCTCTCTCCCATGCCGCAGCGTCCTAGGCTACCGCGGCCCCACATGAAGCACTGCCGCGAGGACCCACAGATGGCACCGCAGTGTACAGCACCCGAGGCTATGTGGTGCACGGGCAGAGGTAGACCCTCCACACGCACTGGATGGTGATGATCCTCAGGGTTCAATGGGGAGGGCCCGGAAAACATCAGAACACAATGCCGAGAAACAGCCAGGTCATATTATATATTATAGTTTATAACGTTACTGTAGTTCAAGCTGACCAATTCTTTGGCCTTTATTTCGGATATAGTATGTGGACGGAAGGCACCCTGAAACTCTCTGGTGTCTAAGCTCGCAATGACAAATCCACGAAATTCCTTGATATTTGGACGATTCAAGGGTTTGCGAAAAAAAACACGATGAGACACTTTGGAAAAGGGTACCCCTAACAACCAAACAGGAGTTCTTCGATCGTGGGTTGGAACTAGATTTTGGATTCAAAAACAGGTTGTTCATTGCTGAGGTTTATTCTGGGGAGTAGCCCCCCCAACATGGGGTCTAGTTGGTGGTTGTGTGCCAATTTTGCTGACCAAACAGGAACGTCCTTGGGACCATCATTCCAGGTATACAGGCAAAATAATAAACTAATGACTAATGAGTATGAATGCAATGCTGCGGCTCAAAAAGCCTCCCAAAACTGGATGATGTGAGTTAATTTAAACTACGAGTAAGAATGATAGCTTATCAATGATTTTGTCCTTACAGCTTGTAGTTGAAATTGATGCGCATGCAGCCCTGTTTGCTGTTTAATAATCATTAATCATCTATGATTCATAACTTATAAACAGCTAGTGTAGCTCAAATAATTTCTACAACAGAGAGGAGTGGTGCAGCTTAGAACCCATTTTCAGGTTGTTTCGTCTTTGATTCTCAATATGTCTCAATCTTTAACATCCCCTTTTCCGATCAGTCTTGTTGGTTCATCGTATCCCAACCAGACATCTCCCTGCATTCCAGGCGCTGTAAAATCTCCTTGGCCCAACACCCCAAAGCGCCCCCAGCCAAAGGCCCAAACCATCGATGTCACAGTGACGGCCAAGGAGTGCCAGCGACCCAAGGCGCACGCGCGGACCTTTTCGCCCACGTCCAAGATCTGCGGCTCATGGACCGCATTCTGACGCCGACCCAAGCCCAGCTGACCTAGCTGAGAAGATGATACTGACATAGGGAGTTGAACCAAATCAAAATGGGGTCTAAAATTCACTAACCAACCATAAAAAACATAAAATATTGACAAGTGTGTCTTCTTGCAATTGCATTGAGCCAAATAGTATTGGGAAATTCACAATCTCAACAATAAAAATTGCTGAGCTTGACAGCACTCAGCTGACCCACCTTGCACCTCGAGGATATGTTTCATGTTCAGCTTAAATTTGCAAACAACTTGGAAATGGGAATCGTTGCGGAAAGAAATTATCAAATATAAAACAAGCTCATGGTACACATGCACATTTAACATTATAATATATTATAGTGGATTCAAACCTAATCAGTTATTTCACTTGAATAAAATCCAAAAATCCGACAGATCACGCCGCACATTGCCACACCTTGATTGTTGGCTCCCCACAAATACAGCCCTCCGTCACCGCACAGCGCCGCGCTGTGCTTGAAACCCGCGGTCACTGCGTCAGCCGGGCCCAGCTTGACACAGCGCTCCAGTTGCGCAGACATCTTTGGAGACCCAGCACCTACAAGGCGGTTCTTCCTAGAAACCATGGTTTAGTTTACACATATGGGGATTTCCATGGCGGTACCCCCAAATGGATGGTTTATACTGGAGAATACCATTAAAATGCATGATTTGGGGGTACCCCTCTTTCAGGAAACCTCCATATTTGGGACCATTTCGGGTGTGTTTAATATTGAGAGGATGGGATCAAGTTGGTTTCGGACGAGGTTAACTTATGGGTTTAATTGGACTATGACGGTAGTTCAAGGGGTTTTCAACCAACTTACTGTATACATGGGGGGACACCACCCCTTGTACTTGGTGCAAGGTTATTTCAGCAGCATTTTAGCAGTATTTCAAGCATCAACAAATCCCATCCCAGTCTCCGTTTCAGCCTAGTGCCAGCTGGCCGCAGGAGTTGTCACCACAGCCGAAGACGTGGCCGTCCTCGGTCAACACCAAGGTGTGCTCCCCGCCACAGGCTACAGCCTTCACCCGGACGTTGCTCGGCACGGCACAGGGCCGTGGAGACCTGTGTGGCGGTGTCGGGGTGCAGTGACCTGGTGATGGGAAATGTGACGACTTAAAGGGAAAAGAAACATGATCAAAAATGGAAGATATTCTAAGATATTCCAAAGTTTATGGGATTTGGATATAATTGAAAATCAAGTCAATGATGATCAGCTAACCCAAAGATTGCAATCCTGGAGAGAATGATGACCAGCTTTGGGTTCAAACCTCCATCATACTGTACTCAGATGCCCAAGGAACAAATCTAGCAACCTCCTAAACCACAGACAAGTAAAATTCCACTATGACCGTGCATTACTGTCCTATTTATTTGGAAATATGTACTAATATATATTATAAAGATACATACATATAGATCTACTATAAATTATGCAGATCCACGCCCAACAAGATGCCATACCCCATTTACCTCATGACTTTTCCCTGTGCAGCCATTTGGGTTCATTTTGAAAACAAGTATATACCCTAACCCGGGTATTATCATTTATCATTGGGTTTACACCCTTATCTCAATCAGATATGATTGTTAGCTAAATTTCAACAATTATCCCATCCACCTGATATTATTATCTAATATTAAACACCCCCTAAATTGTCCCCAATTATGTGGAAATTCCCTACTAGTTACCATGGCTTTGTTTGGGGCCGTTTCATACAAGGGATTCATATACTCTCTGCACTATATGGGGGGTTCCATAATGGGGGGTACCCCAAAATGGATGGAAAAGAATGGAAAATCCCAAACCAAAATGGCTCATGACTGGGGGTAACCCGACTTAAGAAACCTTCATAGTTGAAGGGGGTAAATTCACCTTTCTTGTCCAAGGCACGCCACATCTTCCGAGAAATCTGGAGGCTCCTTCTCCCCTCTTTGGCCGCTGGCGTGACGCCCGCACTGTCCGCGGTTGTTCCGGCCAAACAAGTAGAGGCCGTCCTGTAAAGGTGCAGGAAATATGCCACCTGTAAACTAACTTAGCTATAGAAAATGGTCCATGTCTAGATAATTTACCTCAAAAAACAGCGATTTTCAATGGTTATTTTCATTTACCAGAGGATGCCCACCAGTTTCAGCACTCCAGATAAAGGTATATAAATAACATCAGCGAAAATGCGGGGTCAACCAACCATCAATCCATCAACATATCACACAATTTATATAGTGGTTAATGACCACATCATCCAATTTTTTGTGGATGAAATTCTCTATATATAGGTTTTCAATTTAAACGTTAATTATCCCAATCCCAGAATCCCAATGACTCATTTTACCCCTGATCATAATTGTGGAGTATTGTCAAATTATCACAACTACTATCCCAAATGCTCCATGTATGGTATATTTGCCAACATTTACCCTAAAAATCACCAAGTGATGTAGGTAAATATACCATACAAGGATCATATGGGTATGGCCGGTAAAATGAGTCAGTTGACTTTCAGGGTCTAAAACCAACATCTTTGGGGCCAGAATCGCGTGAGCCCGGCGCACCTCTGCCACAATCCCCGTGTGGTCAAAGCCACAGGACACGGCCACCGGCGAAGACAAGGGCGCGACGCCCGTCCCGGGCGTCGGCGTGCCGCAACTGGGCAAGCCAGGGCCTGGTCCAGTGCTATGGCATATACCCTCTGGTAATTTAACATAACTATGGAAAATCACCATTATTAATGAGTAAATCAACTATAAATGGGTCATTTTCAATAGCTATGTTAAATTACCAGAGGGTACATACCATCATTGGGGAATCGTTGTATACTGGGTATTGGTATTTCACTGTGAAAATGGATGACCATCCCCGACTGGGCACACTGGATCAGACTTTTGAACATGGCATGTGTATTTTTTGTGTACGGTTTCGTGCAAAAAAAAAACGCTGCAACGTTGTGTCTTTGTCATTGTCTGGCAAAGTAACCACTGCAGAAATTAAGTCTATACTGATCTACTAAAGTTACCATACTCTTTGAGTCTAAAGCCTCCATTGCCGTTCCCCAAGATCAAGCCTCCGCCAAGCTGTCCATAAGCAGCTTTGCCCATGGCAACAAGTGATGCATTCCCAGTCTCTCCAGTTGCAAAGTTGTTTCTTTCTGGAGGAGTGAATTGTGCTGTGTCCTTAGCTCGGCTTGAAAATGGACATGGACAGCCTCCAAGGCCCCTGCCAGCAGACCTCAACTGCAATCCAGAAAAAAAACAAGTTGACTTAGTTCACTTGGTTACCGTTTGGGTTTATCGAGGATATATCATATATATATATAGTGGAAAATGAGATATATAACCCAGATGCTCCATGTATGGTATATTTACCTACATAACTGGGTGATTTATGTTGGGCACATGTTGCGATTCATATTCCAGCCCCATGGAGCATATATGGGTAATGGGTCAACAGATATTATCTAAATATATCCCATGATCTAAATATCCAGATATCCCATAGAATCTAAATCCATGGGAGTTTCTAATGGGATCTATTATCCATCATCAACATTCATCAACCAACTACGCTAACATTTCAGCCATCCACCGGCCCCTGCCTGCGCCGGACTTACTTTGGCCTTGGGCCGCCACCGGCTGCCCTTTGGATTCGCCGGGCTCGGCCGGCCCGGTGGAGCGCCGCCGGTTGGAGCAGGTGGACCGGTGTCCTGGGCCCAGTTTTCGCTTGGAAAAAGTTGGAACATGGAACAACCGGGTTGTTGTGATCAATTGATGGGATATGTGAAATATAACGTTGTATGTATACATAATATATATATATATATATGCGGTACATGTGTGTGTGTATTATGTATGTATATATAATTTATAGTTATATATGAAATATGGATGCATCACCGATTCAACGGTGAGAGGATGGATGGTGGATGGGTTAATGCATTCAGACATCTCAACACTCGAAGTTAGAGATCTCATGGGAATATAACCCACATATTGGTCACTTCCATACTAATGTAATCTGATATATTGAGGATCATGCCAGTGGAATCTGGGAGGGTGAGCTGTAGTGAGCTGTGAGGGCTGAACATATCTCGGTTCTGCGATGTAGTTTTTCTGGCAATTAATTCGCATAGTGGGGTCCAATAACCCAACAACAATTCCGGATGAAAAACCATTCCTTTCAATTGCCAACGACCATTTTCTTGTAGGCAGGGTATACATCTGAAATCTCATGAAGTGTCCAAGGTTTCTCCCCATTGCAACTCATTGAATCCTTTTTCTTCGCATTTCTTCTGATTCAAACTGATTGAATTTTGCCCCACTTCCTCACCATCATTCCCCCATACTTCTAAGTCATCTCAACTGTTGGCAATGGCGAATAAACCATGTGTAATTTGAGTCTATTCCACATATCGCTGCTCAAGAATATGCCTGGCGGCTAGGGCTACAATGTGCATGCTTGCTCCAAAGCTAGAGGGGGAAGCCAACAGAGGCCTACCTACGAGTGTGTTTCCTTTAATCAAAATTCCCAAACAAATGTCATCCTAGATGGAAACGGAGATTGTCAAACCATTTCGAATCTGTGGGGTTTTGCCTCTTTTCCCAACACTATCAAACACTCCCATATGGTTTATACTCGCTCCTTGACTGTGATGAACATCCAACCACTAGGTCCACGTTCAACATCAAACCAACTATAGATGTTAATCTTCATTTCCGGTTCATTCCAAGTATATATATATATTAACCTCTGTTTGCTCATAATCAGCTACAACACACATCCCCCGTTCCTTGCTGAGTTCAGTGGAGGTCCTGCCCGGCGGCCAAAAACCTCGCGGCCACCGCGTCGGTCTTGGCGTCGCGGTCCGCTTGGCTGATCTCGACCAGTTCCACGCCGCGGAGCCGCTTACTTTGAGCGATGAAGCCACCCCCGGCGACCGCCACGGTGCCTCGGGGGGGTGAAAAACGCCCACAGCAACCGAAATGGTCACTGGATGACCATGAAAAAATGGGGATTCATAAGAGAAAAACACGTAAAAAAATGGGGATTAATATTGCCAATGGTGATATGATATTTCAACGGGAAAATGGGATTTATGGATTTGTGATGATGATTTATGTTAGCTCATGGGGATTGAATCCGAAAGGTGTCAATATGCACTGTGTGGGAAAAAATCATCGGGAAACATCGAGGTATACAACCAACCCAGTCAGGTGGGTAATGCAAGGCTGATGCATATATCCCTTTTCAATGTTTGACCTTAAAAAATAACGAAGGCTCTATGGAAGGGCGAGTCTTTCACCACCGGCTGCACATTTAAACCCGGCGAGCCAGGTCACCTTTGGGGGGTTGACTTCCAGCTGATTCAAAGCGAGGGTCCCAGGACGTGCAACTTGGGATTCGTGCTCTCCAACAGCCTTTGAACCCTCGAGATGAAGTCGCGACTGAGCAGTTCCATCTTGCCGATCTCGTCGAACACAAAGATCTGCTGGGATCCATTGTGGGATAGGTTGGGGATAGGTTGTGAACACGTTGGGAAAGAGAGGCCGGACCATGTCAGACTGGAAGTTTATGTAGCTACACATTTATCCGCAAAAAAAACACATTTTTTGGTTGCCCTTTGGTACCCTTTGCAGATAAACGTCTTTTGAACACTGAAGGTTTCTGGTTTCCATGTTGGAATGTTGGCAGGTATTTGACGACTCATGAGCCGAAATCCACTAGGATATTTAGATGTTAAAATCAACCAGACTTCAGCTGGAATCTCCCACTGTTGTCAGCCACTTCCGACACCTGACAAGAATCCGAATTTCCAGTTACCATGGTGGGGTATTGGAGAATACACTGAGAAGTGCAAGTGTGTGCATATGTATGTATGTATGTATGTCTGTCTGTCTGTTTGTCTGTCTGTATGTATGTATGTATGTATGTATGCATGTATGCATGTATGCATGTATGCATGTATGCATGTATGCATGTATGCATGTACGTACGTACGTATGTATCTATGTTTGTATGTATGTGTGTATGTATGTATGTATGTATGTATGTCTGTCTGTCTGTCTGTATGTATGTATGTATGTATGTATGCATGTATGCATGTATGCATGTATGCATGTATGCATGTATGCATGTACGTACGTACGTACGTATGTATGTATGTATGTATGTGTGTATGTATGTATGTATGTCTGTCTGTCTGTCTGTCTGTCTGTCTGTATGTATGTATGTATGTATTTACACATATTTACTTGGGTATGTAAACGTGTATGCACATCATGATGCATATAGTATCTCATATTTTCACATATTATAACACTAATATATATATATATATTGCTATGTATATATTTATATACGCATATATCATATATATATATATACATATGATATATATATATAACATATATAATACAAATATGTATATATATATATACAAATATATTATCAATATGTACTGCATCCTTAACATGACACATGCTTAAACATAAATAATATGTTTTTCTACTTTTGCTGGAATATACTAAATAAGTTTTGCTTCTTTCACCAAGGAACAGTCTCTTGATTGGCGCTCTCACTCAGCACGCGGTCCAGAATGGGCACGGTGAAACGCTCAAAGTCCTCGACTTGGACGTGGTACTTTCCTCGGCCAAGTTTTGAAATTCTTGGATGATCCACTCAGAGTCTGTCATATGGTAAACCCAACCATAAATTGTCCTCCATAACCCATATTGCCATATAGCACGCTATAGATACCAAAAAAAAAAACACATCCCCAAATGGATCCAAATGGTAGATTTATATAGATTTATTGCATTCATGGTTCATCAGACTAAATGGTATAAACCAGTTGTGGATGGAATTCTCCTCCAAGTTGGGGTTCTAGGATGATCCAGCTGCATATCAAGACGGGCGTGAACTGGTTGCACAGCACTTGCAAACATAAAAAGGTCAGCTGAAGGATGCCATGACCCTGGTTGATTGGTGGTGCCATCCCAAATTAAGGTCCATCAGAGGGATATATCATTCCAAAGCGGGATGGGAAAGAAACTATTGACGTAAATTTCAGCAGGCCCTTTTTGAGCATTTGCTGGGTCAGTGTAGACATACGCAATCCCAATATGCCTGAATCGGCCAATAGAGGTGACCACTCTTCGAGAACCCGATCCTTTAACAGCCGGGAACTGCTAGCTCTTCAACTATCAAAGGCAAAGTGTGCATCTTATGGCCCAAACAAACCTGTATCAAACCCATGATTCGACAAAGACAACAAGCCTTCAGCAAATATACAAATACCCTTCAATTATACATTACACCCTCCAGTAAATAAACATAGACCCTGCCAAACAAGGGGCAAGACTACTAGTGGTGCCGCACAAGGCGGTGGCGGAAGTTTCAGAAACAGGAAACCTATAGGAGAGATTGGTTGTTGTGAATCACGGATGGCAGAGCGAATCCACTGATGGACTGAAAGGTGGTTGGAGTTGTGTTTTTTGGAGTGGTTACAATGGTTGCAGTGGCCACCTGGTCGGTCGCCTCACCCACAAATGCTGGATGTAGTGTGGTGTAGTGCAGCTGTGGTTGTAGTTGTAGTTGTAGTGTAGTGGAATTGTAGTTGTGGTGTAGTGTAATCACTGTAGCGTAGTTGCAGTTGCATTTGTGGTTGTGAAATGACTGTAATGTAGGGTAGTGTAAAGTAGTCTAGTGTAGTGTAGTGTAAAGTAGCGTATTTGTAGTTGTAGTGTATTGTGGTGCAATGTAGTGTAGTGTAGTGTAGTGCAGTGCAGTGCAGTGCAGTGCAGTGTGGTGTGGTGTTGTGCAGTGTAGTGTAGTGTAGTGTAGTGTGGTGTGGTGTGGCGTAGTGTTATGTAGTGGTAGTTGTGGTGGTAGTTGTGGTGGTAGGTGTAGTTGTAGTGTAGTTTAGTGTAATGTAATTGAGTGTAGTGGGGTTTAATGTAGTGGAGTGTAGTGTAGTTAGTATATTTATATATATATATATGGTGTAGTTGTAGTTGTAGTTGTACTTAGTGTAGTGTAATGTAGCTTAGTGTAGTGTAATTGAGTGTAGTGTAATGTAGTGTAATGTAATTAGCGTAGTGTAATGCAAGTCGTGTAGTGTAGTGTAGTGTAGTGTAGTGTAATGGGGTGTACCTGTAGTTTTAGGTGCAGTTGTAGTTGTAGTGTAGTGTAATTGAGTGTAGTGAAGTGCAGTGAAGTGGAGTTTAGTGTAGTGTAATTAGTGTAGTGTAGCGTGGTTATAGTTGTACTTAGTGTAGTGTGGTGTAATTGGGCGTAGTGTGGTGTAGTGGAGTGGAGTGGAGTGTAGTGGAGTGTAATGTGTTGTAGTGTAATGTAATTAGTGTATATAGTGTAATGTAGTAGCGTAATGTAGTTGTAGTTGTAGCTGTAGTTGTAGTGTAGCGGAGTGTAGTGTAGTGTAGTGGTGGTTGTAGTTGAAACTGCTACATAACCCCCTCAGGTTTTCCTCACTTTTGACAAGGTACACAATCCCCTGCGACTGCCACGCAAAACGACATCTGAACGTCCAAAAGTGCTCCGTACCCCTCAGTTTTTTGCACTTTTGACTTTGAAATGGGCTTCGCGCCACAACGGCGTGCACTTTTTCGACATCTCAACTTCCAAAAATGGTCCGAGAATGAAGTCTTTTGTGCATGTTGACTTGCAAATGTGCTTCGCGCCACAACGGCGGGCACTTTTTCGACATCTCAACTTCCACAAGTGGTCCGGACATGGTTTGTTTTCACTTCGAAATGTGCTTCGCACCACAACGGCGTGCACTTTTTCGACGTCGCAACTTCTAAAAGTGCTCCGAAGCTGAGGTGCTTTGTGCGTTTTGACTTGGAAATGTGCTTCGCGCCACTACGGCGTGCAATTTTTCATCTCTCATCTGGCCAGCTGGCTCCGCACCCGCCGCTTTAGCGAGCCTACTTTTCGACCCTCCGGAGCCTCAAATCATTGGAAAACCACTGTGCTTCGCGACTTTCCTATCTTTTCGCGCACCTGGATCTGCTTTCTTCTGACTCTTTCTCTTTTTCTTCTCTTCTCTTCTCTGACTCTTCCCATCTCTGCTTTTCATCTGTCCATATTGTCGGAAGTTTGACTTCTAAACTTCCTTCGATTAGTTCCACTAATCGAATTGGCTATTTTCAGGGTCTATGTTAATTGGGGGGAGGGTAACCGATATAGGGAGATTCAATTTCAATAATGTTAATTAGTAAAGCAACAGGATCCACTATCCCCAATGACTTACCATAAATGGGTTCGGATGTTTATGGCATTGCTTTACTACCATTGCAATCCATGTCGTGCCATTATACCACCATGATAAGAAGTAATCCCACTACAATTCTATTATAATCGTATGTTTTCCATTGTAATCCAGTTGCATTCCGATGATATCACAATGTTGTTTGCTGCTTGAAACCATTAAAAACATTTAAAAACTGTATAAATATGATGGTTAAAATTAAATTCCATTCAATATCCCATCCGTTATGGCTATCCATGGCTATCCCATGCCGGAGTTTTCCGTCGCCAGGTGTCCCACCATGTGCCCCGTCACCGGCCCCTCGACCGAGGCCAATGGTGCCCGCTGCGACTCGTCTTTCAGCCAGATGCAGTCGAAGCCCACGCGCTTGCCGCGCTCGCGGTGTTCCTACGGCATGGGGAGCATGGGGATCATGGGGATCATGGGGATCATGGAAAAAGAATGATTTTTTAACTAAGAATAACTCGTCTTTTGGGTGAGACACAAAGTAAATCAAAGTAACAAAGAACAAATTGCTTTAACAATAGCAAATGAAAACAAGAACACAACAAACAATAATGATAATAGATCATCAATGATAATTATAATGTCATATGAGTCATATTATTCACTCCGAACATAGAAAAGCAAAATCCGACTAGAGATAGTAGAGATTTATTGAAATTTATTGTTTTCTTATGTTTTCTTGCTTTTTTCTATGGGCTGCTTATACATGTACTGTGTATGTATATATATATAGATAGATAGATAGATATATATATATGAGATGTGAAGCCTCTGAAACCAAAGCTTGGAGATCAATGCAACATAATGCACAGCAGTCCTGCATCAGAAAACCATCCAGTAGTCCTCGGTCTTTGTGCATCGTCCTTTTTTTCACAAGTGCTCCATGAATGTGTCAATATTCAGACATGCACATTGATTCACATTAATTATGTGTTTATGTGTGTGTGTAATAATGTGTCCATTATACATCCTTCGCAGCGCTTTACTCACGTAGGCACGACTGACTATAGTGATTAGTGAATTGTTAGTGACCAGTTCGATTCATCCACATCGCCATTCGATGTCAAGCGCATTTTGGCTGGCAAACCACTTGAAAGTAATTTAGTCAAATTTACACCTTTCAGCAAATGAATCTGACAACGGAATCCACTGCTTGAAAGTTCAAATAAACAAACCACCATCACCAAAGCAACTCTATGTTTAACACAACACAGGATGAAAAACTGTAGGTTAATGTAGGTTATCTAAGCAAATGTCCTATTGTCTGAAGGCCTGCTTAATATGTTTAATGCTAAGTCTGATCTTGGATGTGTAAGGTCAAGCTGATGCACACCGGTGCGTCTCGCTGTTGTGGATCAAATGGCGTGACTAATTCTTGCGATCCATCCTGCATCATTGCTAGCTGGTTGGTGGTATACTTACCCCTCTGAAAAATAGGAGTTCGTCAGTTGGGATTATGATTATTCCCAATATATAGAATAAAAGCCATGTTCCAAACCACCAACCAGCTAGTGTATACAAAGAGGTATTCATAAGATTACCACCCAGAAAAAACGAACATGGCACTAGAAAATCCACCATTTATCTACAGATGATGTTCCCATTCAAACCTCCATTTCTAGTGGATGTTCCAATGTCTTCCCGCAAAGTAGCTGCTATAGCAACCGAAGAAAGCAATGGCAATTGACAAAATCATCGGCGACCTCACCACTGGAAAGATCTTTATCCGTTTAAGAAGGTGGTATTATAATGTATTAGAATGCATTATAGATCTACCGATCGATCCAGTCGTCCATCTAATCTATCTTTATATCTAATCTAATCTAATCTAATCTATCTGATATATCGTTCTATCTAATCTGATCAAATCCAATCCAATCCATCTAATCTACCTCATCTAACTAACCTTTCTATCCATTTTTTCAAATCCGATTCAATCCAATCTAATCTATCTAATCTATGTGTCTACATAATCTATCAAACCTATCAAATCTAGTCTAGTCAAATCTAGTCTAGTCCAATCTAATGGATTCAAATCTAATCTGATCTATTTCAAATTGAATCTAATCAATCCAATCTATCTATATTTCATGATCACCATTGTGTACCTTAAGCAGCAAAACAGCATGATTCATTTGAAGTAAGTACAGTAGATGTACATCGGTTTCCCCCGTGAAGTCCCCAAACATTCTCACAGATCATCCCATAGTTTTGGGTGAAATCTCATTGTATCCCAATACATCCCACTAAAATATTCGAACAATCCCTCAATCAAACCTGGCAATGGAAAATCCCCGAACTAGAATGGATGGTTCTCCATTGCCATGTTTAAAGCACCGGAGGGTAAATCCAAATAAATCTCCTATTATTAACCACTATCAACCACTATCAACCACTATCAACCATTATTAACAATTATTGACCATATTTTCCCATGATGCATGATTTTCCCATGATTTTCCCTACAAATCTCTAGAAAGTTGTTGGTCAAAACCCCGTTTCACCAGGAGGTTCGGTGGTTGGATCTGGCTGCGACGAGGCGTTGGTAGACCTGAGGGATGCAGCAAGAAAGAGAGCAGCCAGGATCATCAGTTGCTGGTTGGTGGTATACCTACCCCTCTGAAAAATATGAGTTCGTCAGTTGGGATGATGAAGATCTCCCAACTGTTTCTGGAAAAATAAGAAATGATCCAAAACACAAAAACCAGGTTGATCTTCTTTGATTTTCAGAGTTTTTTTGTTGAGTCAACCTTGGTAAAAATGGATTGAATAGGTAATTTTGGCGCAATTTAATGTCGTTTTGAAATTGATTGGGTGAAAATGAAGTAATTTAGCATGAATTCACCCTGCTAGCCTTTCTTGGAAGACTGGAAGATCCTTCAGACCGCCTTGGGTTTGACGTGAAATTTGGGTTCTCTAATTCTTGTGATATGTAAATCCAAAATTCAGAAACTACTCCTATGTTGGTGTAACTTCTAATACATACTTGTGAGGGAGTCAGTTGAACGGCACAATTCTAAATCCTCCGCTCCCAACTCGCTTAAGCACATGGGAGATCCCATATTCATACAACGTCTGGGAAAATGAGATCTGATACCACTCAAGTAAAGTACGGCATTCCAGGAATTGGCAGGTATGTGGGTCTGTTTGACAATAGGGGACACTCGCATTGGACTGTTGATCATCATTTCCCCTGTGTAAGATAGCCCTTTTGAGACTATCCCTCAATTTCAGACACATCCATCATAAACATTGCTGGTTGTATATCCGCATGTATTCCTAATCATTCTTGCTGGGCATGGGTTTTCTCCCAGTATGGTTTGCTTGTACCGCTTTGTTTTTCTGATGAAATTAAATTGTTTTGTTGATCAGATACTTACTACATATTAATACGATGTAAAAAATATCGAAAACATACGTATCTATATATTTATTACATCAAGATACGTGTTAAGATACTTATACTTATTACCCATATGCTCCATGGTGCTGGAATATTTACCAACATTTGCCCAACATAAATCACCCAGTCATGTAGGTAAATATACCATACATGGAGCATCTGGGTATACTAAGATATCTTAAGATTTTCTGGTTGGTGGTATACCTACCCCTCTGAATAATAGGAGTTCGTCAGTTGGGATTATGATTATTCCCAATATCCGGAGTAAAAGCCATGTTCCAAACCACCAACCAGCTAGTGTATACAAAGAGGTATTCATAAGATTACCACCCAGAAAAAACGAACATGGCACTGGAAAATCCACCATTTATCTACAGATGATGTTCCCATTCAAACCTCCATTTCTAGTGGATGTTCCAATGTCTTCCCGCAAAGTAGCTGCTATAGCAACCGAAGAAAGCAATGGCAATTGACAAAATCATCGGCGACCTCACCACTGGAAAGATCTTTATCCGTTTAAGAAGGTGGTATTATAATGTATTAGAATGCATTATAGATCTACCGACCGATCCAGTCGTCCATCTAATCTATCTTTATATCTAATCTAATTTATCTGATATATCGTTCTATCTAATCTATCTTTTTATCTACAGATGATGTTCCCATGCAAACCTCGATTTGATGACGATACCCTCAATGATTCCCCCGTTGACCGCGCAGCGAGGCGCTTTGTAACACAAGGTGGTCTTGCCAGTGCCCGGAGGCCCAGTAATGAGCACACGCAGCGGGGCCATGGCGTGAGTTGTGCACTGTAAAAGTTCTGGGGGGTTGTCTACATGGGGAAGGATAACATCCACATATATGTATATATATATATTAGATATGTATGTATGTGTATGTATTAATATATATATATATGTATATTTGTATATATATATATACGAGGCCATTAAGATCTGTTGTTTAGGGTTTATTATGGTTAATCCATGTTAATCCTATCCCATGGAACGGGCTTCTAGTTCTTTTTGCGGCGACGGACGCCACAAAATACCCGACAAACGCAGGATCAACAGTGTACCAATGGGCTGTGGTAGGCCAAGTTGTTGGTCCCATGTTGAATTTCTGCCACAGTACCAGCCGGCTCAGCCACAACGGCTGTTCCAGGGCATCCAGCTATCAGATGCTAGATTTACCCTGCCATGAGTGCTTGGAAGATTTGTTTCCATTAAAACTTGGATGATGTTCAGGGTTCAACTGTTAATTTACTGGAGGGTAACTTGTATCTTTTTGGGTCTTGTTATAATTATAATTTAAATATAATCCCACAGCCCACATATCACATGCTGTCCTCTGGGACCATCAGTCAAAAAAAAGATATCACATTACATCTCCATAACATGTATATAAAATAATATATATATATATTGACATATACATATATTTATGGACGATGTACCGTTATACATAATATGCACATATATATATATATATTATATATATAATATATATATATATAAATATATTATATTATATATATACAAATTTTATACAAACACCACAAGGTACTCATTGACGCTTTCTGAAAAGCCTTGCCATTCCGCAAGTCTAACCCATCTCCAGCCACTCCTGGATCAACCACGCTGGTAGACCTTTCCCTTCAACCAGGTGGACCCAGGCGCATTGTGCGGCCAAGTAGTCTTGCATGGAGGGATAGCGAAATCTCAAGCCGCCCTGCTGATAGTCCTGGCGGATTGAGGCTATGGCGAGTATTACTGTGGTAAACCTCCAATCAAGAGGTTTACCAACATATGAATTGCCAGAAATAGCTGGGATTAACTATCCCAAGATTGGTTGTCTATTAGTGGGTTTACATTAGTTGTTTCAACAGTTTTTCTCAGCAGTTTCTTTGAACAAATGTAATGAGTCGTAATGGGTCAAAAATGAGGATCCACTGGAAGCCATCGTATAATGAACTGGCAATTGCTTGCAGCAAGGTAATCATCCCATCTTGTGGATTCTTGCACCAAATTTCGACATAGTTTGACCAATTCCTTCCACATCGCTTTCTGAACATAGGGTACCCCAAAATTTCATGGTTGATAGTCATGCCTATTACACTAATTTACTTTAATCATGTATTGCCTATTACAGTACTTTACTCATTTTTTTGAATAAAGTTGGCGATATTGATATATTAATATCCCCCATAGTTATTAGACACACCGAAATGTCCGGTTTCCCAGCCACCAAAGTTGTTGTTGGCTCCTCAAGAAGGAGAAGCTGCCCAGCATGTGCAGTCCTTGGTTACAGCGGCGACGCGGCCCCACCACATGTCATGACTTCTGCCCAAACAAAATTCAGCTATGGCACAAAATACCACTAGAAGTACTTATAATTTTATTTATGAAATGTAGAATCCAATTTATAATATTCATAACCACATATAACTTATTTATAACTAAGAAATGTTCATAACGGTTTGTCATCTACATATGTCCAGCATAGAATAACATGTGTTTCTTGGGTATCCAGCATAGAATAACATGTGTTTCCTGGACTGCATCCCTGAGTAATAAACCGCTGGTTGGCTTGCATGCCACCCATGTTCACAGAAATTTATCCATTGTTGTTGGGTTTATTTACATAACTCCACCAACTTGGATTGGGTCTATATATTCATTTCGGTGTCCCTTATTGGATGTATTTGACATCATATTTGCATATATTTGCTACAGTATATATGCACATATAAATCCCAATTTCAGGATGGTTAAACCATGTCTAAACCTCGTTTTTTTGTGGACCCAAATGAGCAGTGTTCAAAACCTTCTGTCGTCTATTTATACTGGTTAGTTAAAACAACAATTTTCCCAGCTCATGGATTATGATAATCCCCAATATATTGGGTAGCATAACTCCGTATAATCATCAATCAACAGGGGGCTAGGCACACTGCTCACATTCTTTCAATTCAGGTTGGTTTTTATGTTCCATTCAATAGTGTCCTTCATTAATCCCATTCCCTGTATTCTGTGGTTTCACATATGTTTCCAATTCCCTGCAAAGAAACACAATTGGAATCACATGGTTTCTGGGATGTGTTTAATTGCCGGGTGGCTGGCCAAAATTCAACCCGTTGCATAACGATAATATTAGTCTGTAAACAGTATGTAGTCCCGTTATATCAACAGTATATCCCACTATTCCACAAATCTGGCAGAAATGATAATTCATTGCCTGAAAATAGACCAAACTCTTGGCCATTTGGGTATACCTCCCATTACTATTCCCATCATTCCTGTAACGCCACGGTGAGGTAATTATAATTCATCCAGATTGTGTATATATATATATGTATATAAATGTATGTATGTATGTATGTATGTATGTATGTATGTATCTATGTATGTATGTATGTACGTACGTAGGTAGGTAGGTAGGTAGGTAGGTAGGTAGGTATGTATGTATGTATTTATGTATGTATGTATGTATGTATTTATGTATGTATCTATGTCTATATGTATATACATGTATATATATATATAAATATGTGTATATATATATATACATATATATATATAGTTATATATATATATATATTATGTGTTGAATCCTTGGTTATCATCCCATAATTACTTGATTGTTGTCATCCAGATTGTATCCATGTTCTTATCCAATGTTTGTGAAATCCCATTGTATCAACATTAGCTCATGCGTCATTATTCTTCCATATATCAACGTTCCTCGACCATGTATGGAAATATGGAATATAACAATAGAATAATTACTGGTTGGTGGTTTCAACCCCTCTAAAACTATTAGTCAATTGGGATGATTATTCCCAATATATGGAAAATAAAACATGTTTGAAACCACCAACCAGATTATAATATATTAGAATTATCATGGGGTAATCAATCATTAAATAATCCCATCCCCCTAACATTACCCCATTATTCCATCAATCTAAGGGGAATGGAATTGTTATATGTATATATACATTATATGCACAACACACACATATATATATATATACACCAGTATCTATGTTAAATATAATATCATATAATTATATTATATCAGCATCATTATTCCATAGATCAACTTTACAATATGGGATGGCTATTACTACAAAAATATGTAGTATCATAGAATTATAGAATTATCGTTACACTACTATAGATACACTACTATCATCACAGCTTTTAGAACAAAAATGGTAGCTCTGATAGTTACGCTATGCTATATTATAGTTACACTATGCTATATATAACAGTTTATAAACCCTCTGGTTATGACTAACATAGCCATGGTATAGATGGCCCTAATCGAAATAGATGGTTTACCGAACTTCATAGCCATGGTGATTTTCCATGGCTAGCCCTGTGAATGTCATAACCAGAGGGTATAGTTGATCTACATATTACTATGGAAAATCACCATTTTTAATGGGTAATTCCACTATAAATGACCATTTTCAATAGCTAAATGTTCGGTACCAACATCAACATCAACATGATGATGGTTGGGATGGGAAGCTCGGCGAAAATTCGAACCGTCCCAGGAGTCCCAGGTGCTTCACCAATCTCTCCATCTGCTCCACCTTCACCTCCTTCCCCGCCAGCGAGGCAATGAAGGCCTGCAGCCTGACAGGTGAAGCTATGACGAGCCTGGGAAAATGCTAGGTTTTACATGGTTTAAGCATCTGGAAATTTAGATATCACATGATTTTACCGTAATATTCACCATTTGACAACAGGAATTCACCAAACAGTAATAACAAATAACTATGACTTTCAATGGACGGATTTAAGGGAAAATCTGTGCTTGAAACTGTGGGTTTTACCTCAAACATGCTGAAGAAAATATCCCAAAACGACCCATTCTGGGCTCACTGTCTTCTCTGGGTGCACGGCTCATGTAACTTGATGCAGCGGCTGCGCTTGCCTGTCATCAGAGCAACGAGGCATTTCCATACCCCCAAGAGGCCATCAAATGGGAATCATGTACAGGATGGTGCCCCCGAGTTATAAATTGTTTTTTAAACCCCATGAATACTGTAGTTATATCTACCATTAACCATACTTAAGCCACTTATAAGGCAACTTAGGTATCTTGGGGGCACCACCTTGTATGCTGACTTGCTGATTACAAGTAGTTATTTTTCCAAGTTTGGACAACTGAAATGCGGAGTGGCCAACACCGACATTGGCCTAAGCCTTCGTAGGCAAGTTCGCAACAAGCTGTCGCCATGCCCTGCTTCTGTAGCCTCAGGGAGTAGCAATCCCACAGAAAAGTCACCTCCAACAGTATCATAAGTGGGAAATGTACATCAAAACAACATTTACATACATTTCCCATTTACTATTTACTAAGATTTACTATCTATCTATAAGATTCTATAAGTGGATACCATAACGGATGGATGAATAATAGATAGTAAATATTGTTTTTATCCTGTGAGAGGTCAATTACTATCTATCCATCCGTCCGTCCGTCCGTCCATCCATTTACCTAGTCTATCTAGTCTATGTGGTCTATCTGCTCTATCTGCTCTATCTGGCCTATCTCGTCTGTCTCGGCTACCTCGTCTATCTAGTCTATGCATCTGACTATCTGACTACCTGACTATCTGACTATCTGACTATCTGGCTTTCTGACTATCTGACTATCTGACTATCTCACTATGTCACTATGTCACTATGTCACTATATCTATCTATATGTCAACCTACCTACCTACTTATCTATCTATCTATCTGTCTATCTATCTGTCAATGTAACTGTATCTATCTATATTTCTATCTATCTATCTATCTATCTATATCTATCTATCTATCTATTTATCTATCTATCTATCTATCTATCTATCTTTCTATCTATCTATCTATCTCTCTCTCTATTTCTATCTATATATCTATCTATTTATCTATCTATATCTATATCTATATCTATCTATCTATCTATCTATCTATCTATATATATATAGCTATCTATCTAATAATCTATCTATGTATTTATGTATCTATGTATCTATGTATCTATGTATCTATGTATCTATGTATCTATGTATTTATGTATCTAACTATCTAACTATCTATCTATTTATCTATCTATTTATCTATCTATCTATCTATCTACCTAATCTATCTATCTATCTATCTATCTATCTATCTATCTATCTATCTATCTATCTATCTATCTATCTATCTATCTATCTATCTATCTATCTATCTATCTATCTATCTATCTATCTATCTATCTTATCTATTTATCTATCTATCTATCTATCTGTCTATCTATCTATCTATCTATCTATCTATCTATCTATATCTTTATCTATATATATATATATATCCATCTGTATCTATCTATCTATCTATATCTATCTATATCTATTTATATCGATCTATATCTATCTATATCTTTTTAAATCGATCTATATCTATATATATATATATATCTGTCCATATCTTTGCATATCTATCTATATCTATCTAAATCTATCTATATCTATCTATATATATATATATTTATTTATATCGATCTATATCTATCTATATCCATCTATCTAATCTACAAGTATCTATCTATATAACTAGACTAAACAAAACTAAACTAACAGTATTTCTTTTGGGGGGTACAATGCTCTTCTCCTCTACCTGGTAGGCCTGTTGAATGGGGGGAACCCTTTGGGACATCGATACCAGTTGGACCATCCAACCAATGCGTTTTATGCTCAGTTCAACACAGCGGAAACTCCGAGTCGTCGTAGGCTTTCACCGCTTTTTGGCCTGGGCCCGGTGGAATCCGTCGTGGAAAAAACCAGGGTGTCCTGTTCCTACATTCCATGCATTCATGGTGTTTCTTTTACACCACATTGATGGGAAAATCACAGGATGATAACTCCGAAATGGGCCAGAAAGTGAATAGGCCCATGACTGAAGCTGCTGTTTGAGGTACTAAGGGAATTGAATCAAGAAGGCAACACCCCTACATGATGTTTAACATGCACAACAACAACAAGAAGAAGAAGAACAAGAAACAAGAAACAACAACACCACACCACACAAACCCAGCTCTGAAATCTTCACCAACTCAGAGAGACTGGGATCCCAGCTCTGAAATATGCGCTTGAACATGTGCTCATATAGCCTCGTTCAGCACGTTGCGATTGTCGCATTTTTTGTTGACCAGTTGGCGACACTGTAGTTGACCGGAGTGGTCTTCGATGGTGCATCATGGAGTGATTTATTTGGTATATAATGGATTATAATGGTATATGTATATATATATATGTTGAATTGCGGGCAGATGAGTCATTGAATACTACCTTTAGTGTGTATATGGTACAATCGTTACAATATATTACAATACATGTGAATATATATATAATATGTATATATACATATAAGTATATATATATATGTGAATATGAGAATTAGGCTACACCTGAAATTCCAGGAGTGTACAATGTGATTTTCTTCAATGGAGACTCCGTTGCGTTGCATCTTGGGTCATCTGGCAACCTGGCACTGTTCCTTGGTGAAATCCCATGAAATAGCTTTGTCTGAAACTAGTCTACATATAAAATGATACCCTATGGTTATGACTAACATAGCCATGGAAAATCCCAACCATAAATGGAGGTTTCTAGCTGGGAAAATCATCTATAAATGGGCCATCTATACCATGGCTATGTTAAATAACCAGAGGGTAAATGATAAAACCATGTTCACATATGTTCAATTATCTTCACCAATATTTAAATGGCAATTTCTTGCGCAATTTTCAGACAAACCCAAATATCCAATATTGTTGGTTTAACTCCATTCCATACCCCCATTGTTTCTTGCTTGCGCGGGTTGAATCCCAAATATCCCATGATATCTCCATTGTATCCTTACTGGATCCTTTTTACATTCTCACCCCACACATCTTCCCTGAGACCGCCGCTGGCAGCGCGTCAATGGATGCCTGCACCAAGGGCACTGGCTGAGTTCTTGGGGATTTTATACCAGTTTTGGCAGCTGCGTTAGCACTTGACATCACCACTGTTGATAGAGAATTTCATGGTATTTAACGGGCAAATTTCTGTGGTTATGTTTGATTATCGGAGGGGTATCGGATGTTACTGAGCTACCGAAATTATGTGGCAGCAGGCACTTAATTCCATAAGAATTCCGAAATAAAAAAATCAAAGGGGATACACATGATACAAATGATGATTCTCCATTCTGCGCATATGTATATGTATGTGATTACTAGTGGATACGACATTTTCTGAAGATACCCCCGTCCACATCCCATATCTCCCGATTTGTTTGGGCAAAGCTCAAGGCGCTGCCAGCTACGTTTGTTGATGCAAGTATGTCAACCTAGAGATTTCCACTATCATCAACCATACATGTATATATATATATATATCATATATCAATCTGGATGTTTCATCATCATTGATTATCTTTGATATATATATAATGTTTCATCATCTTTGTACCTTACTAACATCCCTTAATATCGTAAGTTACCATAAATAAAACCATAAATGTACCATGACTTAATGTACCAGAATAGTAACTATCCCCTTAAATCCCTATATTGGATTATATTGGTGAACATCCGCCTGAGATCGCGCCGCTCGCGGCTTCGGGGAGCCAAGGCCCGTAGCACCATGATGGCCATAAGCCTCGGCCCGGCCCTGGGGAAGTGATTTCAACATGGCCAGGGCGGTAGCAAGACATAGGGGATTTTTAGGTGAATTTTATATGATATGATTATATAGGTGATCTATATCTAAGATGATTATATAGGTGATTTATATTAGCACAGGGGTCAACAAACAAGAGAAAATCGGAGTTAAGCAGCAAAAATATGAAATCCAATTTGTTTTGCAAAACAATGGCTTTGTAATTGTATGTTATTTTTGGTTGCCAAGTTAAAGTCACTATAGGAAACAATATGGTGTATTATAACATATCAAAAATACATCTACAACTAGTGGCGTTAGCCACCATGTTGTGTGTGTGTGTTTATGCAGTGGATAGAGGGGCCGGTTTGGATACCATTCATCCTTCTCTTCCTATTGGTATGGATATAAATCTATATCTAAGACATGTAGGTAGGAAGCTGCACCTAACAGCTCTAATTGCGCAGGCGCGACGATATCTTCATGTCTACCGGCTACCTATCATTTCGGTTTCATGGATCCGGAGTACATGTTTAAGATTGCTTGCATCCTCTACATCCATACTATGGGTATGGCTCAAAACTTGAGGTGCCAATTGACCCACACAACTCGTCATGTTTGGTATTTACGCATTCTGTTTTGATGTCGATTTTGAACCATACTACCCATACCCTCTGGTAATTCAAAAGTTTGCGAACAGGAAAATCACTAATTGTTTTTGAAACGGTCGGTAGGGAATTCATCGAACTAACCAATGGTCCATGGCGATGATAGCTGTTGCCAGAGACTCTCCAGCGCCATCATCGCCATCATCGCCATCATCGCCATCATCGCCATCATCGCCATCATCCACACAGGCAGGGCACCAGGTCCCCTTGCGGGCTGTTCACCAGGTCATAATTGTCGGGCAGAAGCATCTCCGCCTCGACCTCTGAAGCGTCTTCAGAGTGGATCCGTTTGAGACAAGATTCGATGTGTATGTAATGTATATAATATGTATATGTATATATATATGTGTATATATATGTATATATATATGTATATATATATGTATATATATATATGTATATATATATACACATTCAAAGATCTGATTCCTAATTTATCCTTGCATGATCTATTCCAAATATCATTAATGTTCTGATCGAATGATTGAGAAAGTGAGAAACTTAGTGTACCAAGAATGGAGCTATATAGGAAGAAGGGCAAACATCGAAAGGCAACTGCTGCACCTTCTCTGAAAGTTCCATGCCATGGGTCCACCGGCGGCAGAGCTTTCGCAAATGCCTGGCGACCATCCGTGTCATGGTCAAACGATGGGATTAACCATCAAACATGGGAATGGAATATTGGGAATATCATGATATATATATATATATTAATATGTTATATATATAAGCAACAATATGGTACATGGATGTATATGGGGTATCCTCAACCCACTGTGTTTCAGGGTGTTATATACCCCAGTTACAAACGGGATAATCCTCGAAGCAGTGATTGTTTCAAGGCTTATTCACCGGTTCCAAAGTGGTGGCCCCATATTGAAGGGGTTGACCATCTGACCATCACCTAACCATGGCACGTGCCATCTTGATCACTGTTGTTAAAAACAACCCATCTCAAGAATCGGATCATAATCCTATAATCCTCATTATGATGTGAACATCTAGACTATTCGCAATCACCTGCCAGGATGATGTTGGAACACAATGTAGGAGATTCTGAGACAATTTGGAAAGGTTTTGAGACTTATTGATAGCGGCATTCAGGTGAATGATGCCCCAATATTTAGAGTTCAATCCAGCCAGCTTAATCTAGCTCGTATATGGCCATGTCTTTCAACCCACACTCTATCCAGAAATCTAGTAAATGGTTGATTATTTCAACCAATCCCCAAAACATGAAAGTCCATTGCGAAATCGCAACTTATCCTTCAACAGACTAGTACTCAATGTTTTTTCACGTTCAAAAAACTACATCCCATTGGATATCCACAGAAGTCCCAATTGATCCTTGTCCAAACCCGTTTTCATTGGTTTTTCATTGGTTTTTCCTAGACTTTGATGTTTGAGGCCCCGCGGTCTAAACGTGTTGGAGCTGCGTCTCTTCCAGCGGCTTCACGTGAAGCCTCGAATCCGCAGCCAGGCCAGGCGAGGAAAAAACGAACCTGAAACCTACAGAGCACAGGGTCTATGGTGGACATATCCTTAGATGATGTATAGATGATGTATAGATGATGTATAGATGATGTATAGATGATGTATAGATGATGTGTATGTGGAGATTTCTTGAACATTGGGGACTCCAGTATTGCAGATGGTGAACTCCGCGGTGTCTCATCACCAGCAACTTGGATGCGGAAAACTAGGGGTCTCCCGTTTCGAGACACTAGCCGCTATCTTATGATATGTTAATATCATCTAGTACCATTTCATAGGAAACCATTGGATCATATTGGATCTATGGATATTTCCAATCCATATGCCATCTGGTTATTTAACATAGCCATGGAAAATCACCATTTTTAAGTTCGGTAAACCATCTATAAATGGGCCATTTTCCATGGCTACGTTAAATAACCAGAGGGTACCGGTATTACCGTAAAATTTAGAACACACACACACACACTGAATCTTAGATGTGTAAAAATGGAAGTCAGTCAAGATCAAAATGAGCTAGTAGTCCAACTAGAGAATAATGGTCAAGTTCATATCAGTTGCTTGGCATTGCTAAAGTCAGTGGATACGACCATTCCATTGGTGGTTAATACATGTCAATACTAGAATAGCCACAATACAACATGAATATATATAGGCGTGTCTGAAAGTAGAGTCCCAAAATCCTATGGTTTATCATCAACCCATCAAAACAAAACATGCCATTTACATAAGTTCGGTATCTCGGCGCACACACGCATCATTTTATTGGTTGCATACCCCTTTACATCAAATGATTATCTCACCATTGCTGGTGAAACAACCAGCCATCTTGTCAAAAATCACCAGATCTGGTAGTAGATCTCGATTTATCCAGTTGACGACGACTACTACTACTACTACTACTACTACTAACACCACCACGACTACTACTACTACTACTACTACTACCACCACGACTACTACTACTACTACTACCACCACCAAGACTACTACTACTACTACTACCACCACCACGACTACTACTACTACTACTACCACCACGACGACTACTACTACTACTACTACTACTACTACCACCACGACTACTACTACTACTACTACTACCACCACCACCACGACTACTACTACTACTACTACCACCACCACGACTACTACTACTACTACTACCACCACCACGACTACTACTACTACTACTACCACCACGACTACTACTACTACTACTACCACCACCACCACGACTACTACTACTACCACCACCACTACTACTACTACTACGACTACTACTACTACTACTACTACTACTACTACCACCACCACGACTACTACTACTACTACCACCACCACGACTACTACTACTACTACTACAGATATTTACAGGTCTACCATTTCTAGTTCATGTTTGAGATCTCGCTATAATCATAATCTCCCTAACATCAAACACAGACCAAAAACCATGGTTTTGTGGGGGCTTACCTATGTTTGTAACCATGGAATGCGGGTGTTTCATATGGGGATGGGCTTGTCCTCCCGAAATCCGCCATGGAAAGCCCCGAAGTCGGGCCCCACACTCTGAGAACTTCCACCTGTCGCTACGAGGTGGCCCTACCCCCCAGGTGTAGGGTGATAAACCCTTTTGTGACTACAGGTATATCTAGCATAAACCCTAGGTATATTGCAGTTTGAAGCCGATTTAGCTATCTGCTATCTGATGGGCGCCTGGTTTCACATCAGTACCAGGTCAATGACAATTCTTGAGATGGAGATCCTTTTCTACATGTCTTGCAAGATCCATGATTAAAGTTGATTTGCCAGGCAAAATCAGGGAATTGGTCCCCATATTATATAGATTTTTCTTGTCATTCACAATCAATAGCAGCCTTTGTTAATGTCATCCTATGCGAACACCTCTATAAAGGAGTGCTTTAATTCGCATAGGTCTTGGTACATCCCCATCTGTCCTGATGAAAATGATGAAATCCCCACATTGAGCCATGAAAAATACCCCTATCCCATCCCATTATATTGGTTATGTACTAAATGTTCCTCTTATGGGTTGGTTCATAATCTCAAATAAGCCAGTTGGTTTTTTTTCCAACAAATGACCCCATCAACTATCACGTCTTGAGTTATAATTAGTTTTATAATCTGAAAAATCTCCATTGTTCAATTGTTCATGGTCAAAACCCATACAAATCATAATCTGGTTGGTGGTTTCAACCCCTCTGAAAAATATGAAAGTCAGTTGGGATGATTATTCCCAATATATGGAAAGTCACAAAATTCATGTTCCAAACCACCAAGCAGTAATAAATCCCCATGTCATAACCCATCAGCAGATGGGTTTTTTCCATCTGGGACGGCACCACCATGGTCACCATGGCACCTCTGAAGCAACGAGTAGACGCTTTCATCGTTCAGCTCCTCTTCCTCGCCTCCCGTTGAAGAAAGACGTGTCGACACTACCAGGTCGCTACAAAAAAAAGGGTGATTTAACATATGAGCCATTAAAAATACCCCTATCCCATCTCATTATACTAGTTGGTTGATAGGTTTCCCTACCATGGGTTATCATAATCCCCAGTAAACCAGGTAGTCGTATAATCCCCTATAGCAATCAATTAACCAGGGTATTTTCAATGGCTCATATTTAACCAACAAAACATGGGGGGTTCATTGGATTTATAGCTGATTTAGGATAGCCAAGTCGGTTCACATAACTAGGTCCTAGGTTAACTGATGGGTTACAGTGTTCATTAGGGGCCTATAAAACTAGAGTTAATGGAGTTTACACACCAACAAATATACATTAACTGGGGGGCCCCACATTGTGGTGATCATGTGATCTTGATGGAATTGAATTAAATTGTTGAAGAGTATATGATGGGATATCTCTCACCTAGTTGGGAGGGTGCAATTGGGTTTTTTCAAAAAATGGGCATCACCGGGCTGATACGCTTCATGAACTTCATGAGTTGGGGTATCTTGGGATATGTCTTCCCATAGTAACTGGAACCTTAACTGCACCCCTAAGTAGGCCGTAGTCAATGATATATGCATCCAAGTGCCTTAATATAAGGGTCAAAACACAGCTATAGATTAGGCCATATACTATACTTAAATTGTATCCTACGATACCTATGGATCCAGCAGTACCTTCTGATGAAGCGTTTGCAGTCTGATTCAGGGCTTGAGTACCTTCCCAGGAAGTGGTTGGTTCAACAGGAATATGTATACAATATGAATATGAGTATGAGGCTGTATATTGTATGACTATATATATATATATTAAAACATAACATATGCCTACACAAACATATTATACATACGAATACATATTTGCGATATGGCGATATGTATGTCTTTGCTTATCTAACTTTTCTATATACATCCTGAAGTAGCTGGCCGGTGCCTTGCGCTTGGAATTCTTCACATTGTGGCACTTCCATATCGTTGGGATCAAGAAAAGTCATGACGATTGGCCATATCGGTGGTGCCCCCCTTCAAGTTTGTTGGGTAGTAAACCAGTAATCAACCATTAACCATTAACTAGTTCAATGGTTATTCATGGTCATTCAACAATATGAATTTGTTGCTGAATAAACCCCGCCAATTCGATATACAGTATCTACCAGGTCTACATTCAGAAAGCATATCCAGCCAACTCCGCTCTCCCCCCACCTGGCCCCACCCAGAGCAGGTTTCTAGATCTAAATGCTCCCGGAATCCCAATATTCCCAATCAACTCGGCTCATAACAATTATCTCCTGTCCAGGGGAGTTGTGGGGGATTACGCCGATCTGAATCTAACCATCTATCGATCTATCTATCAATCGATATTGTTACCATCATTGCATGATTTGCATGGTAAATCTACAAGTAAATCCAAATCTGTTCTGTTGTTTCCATCATAAACAAACATATGCTTTCATCCATCCTCAGAAAAACGCCCATGTCGCAAACCGCACTTCTTTTTGTCCCGCAAAGCCATGCGATACAACAGGAGGGATGGCTGCTGAAAATTATCCGGTTGATGGATCCAGTACGATCCGATTCAAACAGCAAAAAACACGCATGCAGGGGAGCCTGTTCCTACATCTTAGTCATTTTAGCAAATATAAACAGTGAATGTTCCTGTTTGCGAAACCTGCAGTGATTGTCCCTGAGAAATCAACAGGATGAACCAAACAGTCTTCGACCGCCATCTGAGCTCGACATTTACCTCAGGATGACGTAAGCCCACGGCGTAGGTGAATGGGTGTATCTGTAGGTGGGAAGTGTGTAGGTGTGCGTGTGCGTGTGGGAATGATATAAAATTAATTATAATTATATATATTATATATTTATATATTAGTGGGTGCAGTGGCGGTGGCCTGTTTGTCTGTCGGGACCTTCCCACCTTGAAATATAATTTTGTTGGACAAACAAATGCCCTGTCTGGCAGACTTTGGCCGAGTGGCTGTCCCAAGCGGAAGCGCTTTACAAAGAACTGACCCAAGACAGTCGATCCCAAACCCAGCACAAAGGCAGCAAAGATCGGTATAGAGTTCCAGCGCAGACCGAAGGAGGAGACTGAAATGGACCTCAGGTTGTTTTGGCAAGTGCTGAGAAAACCTTCCCTACATGGAGCATACAACATGTATCTATAACATATAATATGTATAATATATACAGGAGAACATATTATGGAAACATGATGAAGTTGATGGTTTGCGATGGTGCCTCATAGGGACATGAGCTGAGTTTTGATTGGGGGGATCACGAAGAAACAATGTTGCTTGAGCATGCTGCATGATTGTTGCAGGTTGTGTCACAGATTTCGGACAACTCTTTCAGGACTGTTCAAGCATTTTGAGGGATCTACCAAATATTGTCAAGGTCTGACCAGAATCGCCATTTTTCCGAAGAAAGTTGTGATCCAATCATTAAGAAAATGTTCACCTCCAACTTAGGTTTGCTGAGGATTTCATGAGTATTGACCCAACCCCGCCGAATTTGCCCATGATCAATCCCCAATTTGTGGTTGAAACAACCAGCATTTGTTTGGAAACAACAAAACAGGAAAATATCTCTATGGAATTAACCAATCTCTTTTTTAACACGTGAACAAACGTATAGCGCAAAAAAGGTGTCCAATGAACAACAATCTGGTTGGTGGTATACCTACCCGTCAGAAAAATATAAAAGTCAATTGGGATGATTATTGATTATTCCCAATATATGGAAAAATATAAAATGTTCCAAACCACCAACCAGCAATGTAATATCTGGTATTGATATTTATGAATATTTATGACCAGAGGATATCATGAAAAACATGTTAAGTCTCCATGTCTCTTTTTGAGAGTCTCAATTTTTGCTTCATCCTCAATCGTTCCCGAAAACAATCTCGGACGCAACCAGAAGACTCTGGGAAGTTTGGCCTGCGCATTGGATCATTGGGGACCATCTTCCCAAGACAACCGGAAAACGTGAAGCATAATACCAATCAAAAACCTCGGGGTGTTGTAAACTTGTAAAAGACCTCATGACTCTTCTGTAAAATTTTGGTGTGCTTTCATTGGGACTAAGAGAGTGTCCAGATAAAATGCCGTCATTCAATCTTTGGAGTGATCAAATGTTGGCAAATCTACCATGCATAAAAAACATGCTTGGCTGATCCTTCCCTCCATTTATCACTGAGGCTGATTTGCACATTGGAAACAAAAAAGCACAACACCTCCAATGAAATCTATTGTGGAGTTCATAACAGTAGGTCAAGGTGTTACCAACCACCAAAAATAGGTTTATGAACATATGAACATCTCGATTATCTGGTGACTCATGAAATTTCAACCATAGATTTTCAAACCTCACACCAAACATGGGTTGAAATCCACACCAAAATGGGTCCATAAACCATAGCCACCATAGCCACCATAGAACTCACCTCTTGCCCATGGATTTCCAGTTCCGCCGCCGAGCTGGCGCCACACCTCTGCACATGGCCAGCACGTAACGCGGCCGGCAGCTTTTTGGCCCGCAGGTCCACCTGCTTCCCATGGCTATTTCCATGGCACAGCTCTTAGAGACCCTGCCAAAAAAAATCTTGCCCCCTGGTTATGACTAACAGTTTGCCATGGTATAGATGGCCCATAGAAATAGATGGTCTACCGAACTTAAAAATGGTGATTTTCCATGGCGAACTGTTAAATAACCAGATGGTAACTGGTTAAGACTAAAAGATTAAAGATACTAGGAGTAAATAGATACTAAAAGACCAAAAACTAAATTCATGATAATCCCATTGATACCAAAAGACTAGTTAGGATTAATGTTGACCTACGATTTATCAATGCCCCCTGAATAAAGCTATTTTTCCAAAATTAACAATAAATGACCCCTAACTAAAGCTATTTTTTTTAGTCCCTAAACCCACATTTGCCCAGATGGGGCTGACCAAAACCTTTATTCAAACATGATAGCTGAAAATTGTCAAACATGATGGATGCTCTTTCTATTCAAAACCTTTACTTAAACTATCCAAAATCAACTCCAAATCAACTCATCAAGGGTACCCCCCATGAGGTGCCTTAGCACCAATTAGAGTTTGACCCTGAATAAAGCTACTGAGCTTCCCCCTCCCGCTGATCAAGAAATGAATACTAAATCAATACTAAACCAATACTAAATCCAGGAGATGAATACTAAATCAATACAAAATCCATGACATGAATACTAAATCAATACTAAATCCATGAAATGGATACTAAATCAATACTAAATCCATGACATGAGTACTAGATCAATACTAAGTCCATGACATGAGTACTAGATCAATACTAAAACAATTGCTGGATTCCTTTTTTTTTTGAAATTGCATTTTATGATATTTTATGTATTCGTTTTCAATTGTGGTAATTTAAAACCTTTACATACAAACAAGTTTTATGGTGGCTTTAAGTTTATTTAGGGTAAAAGAGGGGGGGGCCCTATTTATAAATCAGAGGTGGACATTAGTTTCAAGTCATTCAAGATTGACCGGGCCTTTCTAGGCACAGCTCTGGATCTTTTTGAGGAACATCTTGGTAAATGTTGGGAATTATTTCATACATGCAGGATATGGGAAGAGCAAAAACAAAGTGGAGTTTGCGAAAAGCTACATGACTCAGTCTACTTGAAATAGTGATCTACAATGGTGACGTTCCACCATTAATTCAAGGGGAAATTCAATCCTCGAGGATTTGTTGGAGTGCGGCAATAGCTACGGACACTGAAATTTATTGATGTGTAGTACAACCAACCTGTTGCAAGGCTCCTTGAATACTATTTTTCCAACGTGTGACATGAAACTATTTGAGCGATCCTAATTGCAAGTACAATCTAACCACAAAGCCGGTAAAATAGCAGCAAAATGGAATGTTTGAAATATCTGTCTTCTCATCAAAGCAACTACCTTGCATGGCATAGTACCTTTATGATCTTCGGCACCTTAAAAATTCACCTGAAAGGATATGGACTTGTCCAAAAGAACCACTGCATCCATAAAGTATTTCCCAGATTTGTTCAAATCCTAAATGAGATAATAATCAATGTTTCTTTTGTCGCCAGACTGCAAATGGCAATTCCATGGCAGTTCGTTGCAATCACTTGGGATCAACTTGGATGATTTTGGATGTAGAGCGGGCTCATTCCTTCGTGTTCAAACCGTTAGATAAAGACAACATATCGGATCCACGCTGGATTTATCTGATTCCTCTGGCAATCAACTGGGATCATACTGGGGACATAATTGGAAATGCAGTTCCATATAATTAAGTGGCTAGATTTCACATAGTTCTAGGGTCCCTATATCCCAATTTATGGGGGTTATTTCAACATAGTTATACAGGAAGGGCCCCCCCAAACGTTCTAACTTGATTTATAATCCCATCAAACTAGTTGCCATGGGCGCTGCAGGGCGCCTGCGTGTTTTGTTGTCTGTTTGTTTTTGTTTTTGTTTGTTGTTGTGTTTTTCTGCTTTTGTTTGATGATGGGGTGGGGTCGGTGGGATGTTAACGTTCATGTTCATGTTACGCTGATGACGTTACGTTGATCATGGGGTGGAGTTGGGTGGGGTGGGATGTTAACGTTCATATTCCTGTTACGCTGAAATTGTTCCATGGTTAAAGTAGTTTTTGAGAGGTGAAAAAACAGGCCTGCCAGGCTGCATGCGCAGTTACATTGGGAAGTGTACGCAAACGCCCTTAAAACCACCAGGCGCCTCTCAGCGCCGTTCCCTAGTTCGATGCATCCCCTATAAACATCTGTAAAACCAACAGTTCACCTAGTGAACTGTGCGTTAACTTAGCGATTCTGAACTGGGGCCCCTTCCTGCACCCATAAAAGTAATTGCAAGCGCACCCACACAGTAGAGACCGCGCCTGTTCGGGTTCGCTATCATCATCCACGCTGTCATACTTCAGCCAGTCAGGTCTCAGTTTTCGTATGGAACAGGGACTTCTTTCAGCAAAAAAACAATAGGAACATGGTGATTTCACCAACAGCAATGGGCCAGGGGGATTTACGAGGATTTATATATATATATATAGCAGATTTATGATAGCTCAGTTGGTGTCAAACAACTAGGTGAGTTCTATTGTTTATGGTAGATATGTCGATAGTTGAAGGGGGTTTTATCGACATTCGGAGAGATTCAACATCATTTTCCCCATGATGCCAGATGATTTCAGACAGGACAACCACACCAATTGAAGAGGTGTGACTGAACATAGAATAAATAGGGTACTCCTGGATCCACCTTTTCATGATTTTTCTCCACATTAAGATTTACTAAAATGGCAACTTTGGTGGTATACCCAATGCACCCAATTTCCCCACAGACCATGACACACCTATCAAATCCAAAGCGGATCCAAAGAATATGACAGAGGTCATTCAGGATCAGTATCCCCAAATAGGTTTGAACATTCACGAAATTTCAAGCCGCAAACCGGAAGTTGATTGATTGCTGCAACATCTGCTGCTGCTAATTTTCTTGATATCTTAATTTGGGACATTTGATGTTTCATTCCTTGATTGGTTGGGGGTCATGAGCATGCAAAACACTTCACAGCATCACAACCACCTCATCCTCCAAAAAAATGCATCTTAGCGACTCCACTAATGCAATCATTGGCACCTCAGTTGCGCAACAGGCAGAAAAATGTGTTCAGTATGGACTGTTGTGTTTTACACCAACGTTACATACATACAGTAGGTATATATATATATACATATTTGAAAAACAAAAAAACTTACCACTTGAAGAGGGTCTATGAAAGAAATTTCTTCATGCTGAGTGTTGGAGGGACGCAGGCTATGCTCCAAAAGTACGTTCAATTCATCTTAAAATATAGTCACCTGTGTATAAATATAAACAAATATAAACATATGTATACAATTGTATACATACATCATATACTTGGAGAAATGTGAACAAAATAATGTACATGATGAACGCAAGGGTATACAAGGGTTAACCTTTTTGTACATTGTCTAGATGAGATGGGATTAGATGAGATGAGAGAGATGCGATAGATATAGAATTATATCCATACAGGCCAGCTCACTCAGTTACCAGTACAATCAGTGTTTTTCAAATCCCAACAACTCGGCCCCAAACCGAGAATTGTTTTTGTTACCAACTCAGATTTTCCAAAATGGTGCAAACCTACAAATTGAAGGGAATAATCGGGATATCACGTCGAAATTTGTTAATCAAACGTTGGGATGTTGACCAAACATGAATGAACACATAGTATCAACCTATCAAACAACACAATCATCCGAGGCAAATGGATGTTTCCGAAACAATAAAATTCCAAGTCGTCCACCAATACAGCATCCTTGAAAACGCCAAGTACTTGGTTGTTGATTCACATGTCTCCAAAACGTTTCTCTACTACTGCAGTTGCTGACATGATTTTGTGCAACTGGGAAATGACAAACGACAGGGCATTCCAAACACTAGCTTCAAAAAAATATGGGTTTGAACAACCACAACAACAACAACCACAACAACAACAACAACAACAACCACAACAACCACAACAACAACAACAAACAACCACCACCACCACCACCACCACCACCAACAACAACAACACCAACACATTGTCCCCAAAATTTATCAAAATTCCCATTTTGGGAGGTAAAATGATAATCAACTATGGGAATTTGGGGTGCAATGTTTTCATGCAAACCCAAACAATGCATATGCCGGGATGTTTATTTTGTGTATTAATTGTGTCCCTTTGACTAAACAGACTACAACATCCCCATGCAAATTTTCACCATTCATCATTGTTGTTGATTTTGTTGCTACAATTTTCCATTGCAACCAGTCGAACAGCTGTCGGAAACTGCTGTGCATTGTTGTACTGCTCGCACAGGGGCGATGTTTTCATCAAACATGAATAAACATGACCAACAATATGGATTGTACCTTGCGGGAATTTAAAAAAAATGTGGAAAATACGGTTCATTTTTTTACAGCCAAGGAGCGTTGCATGGCTTGGGCCCTGCCTGGCTGGGGTAGCAGGCACGATATTTGGAAGGATTTAAGGAAACCCTAGATATAGTTCATTGTAGGTTACCCAAAAATCCAAATAATAAAAACAACAGTTCAATAATACATTTTGTATGTTTTTCGCCAAACATGAAACTTCCGGTTTGACTGGTGCAGGATGCGGTCAAGTTTCGTAACAAACAAATATTGTTTGGTTTCGGGAGGTGACTTAATCATCAGTCAACTTGTTAATTTAACTAGGACTTTCCATTGGACAAAACTAGGAGTACACAATGTGCTGAGATGTTCTAGCGACCGGCTCAACTTGGATTTCAATGCCAACGCATACCTGCAAAACTCAATAAACCCTGTTTTGCATGGGCAAACCTTTTTGGGTAACCACCTTCATGATAGAGAACATCTTAATTTCAAGTGCATATATATATATATGTGTGTTTAATTATATTCAAATATGGAGGTGTAAAAGTAAAATGCACATTGTTGTTTATGTTGTGTTGAACGGTTTTCGTGAAAATTGTGAAAAATGACAGAACTTGTATTGAAACACAAAAACAAACATGGTAAAATATGATATTTGAAAACAATTTTGCAGAATTAAACTAAAAACAATAAATATGAAATAATATGACATGAACAAAATAGAAGCCAACATGTAAGAGACAAAAGTAAAATACAACACAATATAAAGAGTAGAGAAAAGAACTCAATCCAAATTTCAATATGAAACAAAACATGTAAAAACGAAACTGCTAATTTTCAATGAAAAGAATCAGTAGAATGTAAAAAAATATGTAAAAATCTTGAGATGACATGCTAAACAACAAGGTCACAATATTTCTCCAAACACTGCTATGACACACTTGATTTTTAAATAAACATAAATATGAATGAGCATGAAAAATAATCGAACATGATCAAAAATATGTATATCATTTCAAAAAACTGAACCAACAAACATATCATACAAAATCGATCATTAATTAAGTACAATATTTTTGGCAAAATGAATATAGAAAACAAAGCATGTGTCGAAGATCACTGCGGGTGTTGCGGGGCCCTTCTTGCGCAGCGGGCTGCCTAATAGAGAAACAGCGTGAGGGCGGTAAGACAAGCTCGGAAGAGATTGAACCACGTCGTGACGAGACATTGGCCGAGGGTGAGAAGGTGTGAGCTGCTCTCTTCCATTCTCTATTAAGAAGAGACGCCAAGGACTATTTATTTGTTTCGCTTCATGCGTTTTCTAGGGCTCGGGCGGCTTGGTGCCTTGCCTGACCCAGAGCGCTCGTGATTGGTTTCAATGTCCGAATGTTCAAAGATGATCCGGCCTGTGCTCTCCGGGGTGGTCGCCGCAGACCCTGAGACAATGAGCGTGGCTACTTGTGGCCGATTCGTTTGACGTCTGCCGCATTTTTTTGTTTTTGATACGGTACTCCGAAAACTTGTTGGGCAGTTGTGGCTTGAGGGGACTGTTACTGTTCTGGACCCTTTTGTCTGAGCTTGCTGCCGCTTGGCGGCGCGGCGCCTGCAGATTTACACTGCTTTTATTTTCTGCCTTGCGCTGTCAGTCGTTTCCATTCCCTGCGGCTTTCGCTCTGTGCCCGTGCCTGTGGGCTCTGGGGCATCTGGCGATAAGAAAGAATGAACGAGTGTTTGAAGCAGCTGCAGGGAAAGGCAAGCCCAAAGGACGAAAAGAGCGAAAGCGCGTGAAGCCGAAGGGGTATGAAAAGAAGATCAGGTTAGACTATGTCTACCGAACAGTGGTTTTTATCGATCAAATAAACTAACATCTTATTTTGAAATAACCTAGCACATGTTGCTAAACTGAAAAGAACATGAAAAAATGTAATTTTGAATTACCTAATTCCGTTAAAGTTGCATGTTTTTGTTACTTGCCTATTTTTGTTCGACCTTTTTCGCTGTAGAAATTTTGAATGTCAAAATCATCCTATGCACAAAGTAATCCCTTAAAGATGTTCCCATAAAAACCTCCATTTATAGATGATGTTACCATTAAAACTTCCATTTATAGATGATGTTCCCATGAAACCCTCCATTTAAACATGATTTTACCATTATAAAACATTGACTTAGACATGATTTTCCATTCACTCCCATTAAAACCTTCATTTATACATGATTTTCCTATTACAATGACAATTTACAGATGATTTTCCTATTAAAACCTCCATTGATTGATATAAGAATCTTTCCAGCCACGTTTGAGTCCCGAAGGACCCACCTGCACACCCTGCACTGCTGGCACCACGACAGCGTCACCTGGCTAGCTGGAAAACCCCCAGAATAGAGGGTTTATCTCGGGAAGATTACTGAACGGAAAGGGGAACTGTCATAGCTGGTATAGATGGTAATTTAACATAGCTATGGTATAGACGGTCAATTTAGCTCGATGATTTAAATTATTTATACACCTATTTTTTGTGATTTTGCAAAGCAAACTGTTAGTTTACTGGGGGGTAGCCCACAAGAAGAACATGTTGGATTCAAGAGACAAGGGAGTTGTTAAACCAACTTTGATGCCTGGGGCATTTCAGATTTGACCAACAAATACAGGGGTTCAAAAAAGTTTCAAAAGGAAATATCGTAGAGTTTGACCAGACAGATGAAAAAGAAAATACCCTACTGTACTTGGTGACTTCAACATGTATGGCTGCGTTAAAAAGAACATGGCGGTGAACAAATGAGCAGTGTTCAAAAAACCTGCTGGTTGATGATTGCATGGGGTTAGAGTATCTACGATATTTGGGATTATCACAATCCATCAAAGGAATTCCTCAAAACCAGCCAGCGTAAAGCTACGGGTGAGTTCGGCCTGCCTGATTGTCACAAACTGGTTGATAGACATATGTTCATACCCATGTGGATATTGAGGGGACTGGACACATGAAATAATCTAAACCTCATGCCTGAAATTGAGCTATTGGATGACCATGCATCCCGTAGGAAAATCACCTTCCATGCCCCAGTCTTTTTGTGGTTTCTAGCTGAATTTGCCAACAATGGGGCTATAAAGAAAGACAAACGAGAAAAACATTGTCAAAGGAAATAGAAGTGCGAGGAAGAGAGTATGTATAAAACAACCAAACTGATATCAAGCAATCTCAGGGAACAAGGTTGCACACCACGTTACCAACACATTGCTGCAAATGTCCAACATACAAAGAAGTAACAGTCTCGGATTATTATCAACCAGCAACACAAATGCGGGAAAAAACAAATCAGTCAAACATGATTTGAACAACACTGTGTCCTGTGAACAATGATATTGTCAATAAACATTCTGGAGATTACATATCATATGCGTGGGATTGTGGCTGCAAGGTGTTGTATTGGTTACGGCAGGTTTACACACAGAACCAGGTCTCAGAAACATTGTTCTTTGTTGATTAAATATAATCCCCATGTGCTGCCGGTCAAACATCCCAATATCCAATACCATCAGTTCTCTTTGTCTGTTCAATCTCCTTCCTTATGTTATTTTACTATATTTTACTCTCCTGCAATGCTTTGATCTGATTAGTTCAGCATTACTTTGCCCAAAACCAAATATGCTAAATCGCACTTCCCAATATTATGACGATCACCAAACGAATGCCTTATCAAATTTCACGAGCTCCTGGGATTATCCGATTTTTAGGGAACATTTGATATCAAGGTCAAGATGCAATATTTGGTGCAGTGTACGCGCACAAGGGTCGCCATGTAGGTGTTTTGTAGCAACATGATTGAAAATTATGTAAAAACATGTCTTTTTTGCCGAGCGAAGGTGCGATCTCCGACTGTTTCCAACCGTTTCCCCTTGGACCTTTGGACCTTCAAAAAAATAACTGCGTTCCGCAGAAATGCTTATTTGAAAAAAAATGCGGATTGGACAAGTTTTGGCCTGATAATTTTCCCGACTGTTTCCGACCGTTTCCGACCGTTTCATTTTTTCTGAACGATTAATTGGACCAAATCCATTTATGGAAGGTTGATCCAGTCCAAACCCGTGCAAACCATGACGTTTTATTTTTTTCGTGCGACCCTTTTGCACGTACACTGCACCAAATGTTGCATCTTGACCGTGGTATCCAATATTCCCTAAAATCGCAAAATGCCAGGAGCTCGCGAAAATTAATAGAATGCCTTACGCAGCATACCAAACTAGTATACGTTATCTATATCTTGGAAAACCTGTTTATTTTATCAATATCCCATGCTTCCTTTGAGCTGCAAATATCCGCATCGTTCCCTGTGTGACATGATCAATATCAAATGGGGAATGGTCATCCCACCATCATTCCGTATTCCTTAAATAAATAAATCAATAAATACATGTATATATATATATTATATTTATATATACATACATGTATACATATAATATATATATATATAGTATGAACCCCCATGAACATGGTCGTATGACAATCCCCAATTCATGGGTTAACCTATAATCCTGTATCCCACATGCCGGTATCATGAATATCGCACTCAATCCACATGCAAGAGTTCAATCCTACTAATCACTATTTACCATCACTTACCTAATAAATGTAAATAGGTTAACCCATCCATACGTCAACCAAGTAGCAATAAGAGTTGGAAAATGATATGTACTTATACATATTTCAAGACATATACCTGTATATAATATTCCTTCTACTAGAAGCCTTCTACCAACAGTTTCTGATGTTCTAATACTTAGGTTTTCACCATTCAACATCACTTATTCTTTGGTTGTGAAAGGGGGGTGTAACCCGGTAACCCTTGTATTCATCACCGAAGTAATACTTCCAGTTCGCTATAATGCATATGTCCCATTCAACCACATTTGTTGATAGGATTAAATCGAACGCTTCGCATCCTGGACAAATCACACTCGATTAACCTGCAATGTTCGGCCATTTCGAGAGACTTCGCCCAATCTAGCCATCATTCCTACCACTTCTGTCCTTACAGATACCTAAAGTTATGGTCATTTATGAGTCATAACTGGTTATAAATGGGATTATGCATTCCATAACAGGGGTGACTTAGTGCTTATAACTGGTATTTCGGGCCATAACTGTAGCAATTTGGTCAAAAGGTGAATCTCCCCACCTGTCTCTTTCGTGGTGTTGGAAACCTCCTTCTCCGCAGTCTCTTCGGGGGTCTCTAGCATGCTGTGGCGCGAGGTTACAGCCACTTCAGCAAAGACCTGTGTGGAGATTGATGGCGACAGCAAAATGGTGCTTTCACCGACAGACATGCATATTTCACGAGCAACAAATGAGATTTGCATGAACAAAATCGAAGCTGCGAGGACATGGGAGGTTTAATCAACAACAATTGAGAGCGCAATCGAATTGAACCAGCAGAAACTTACACTTTTATACAACTTTCCCCCAAAAAAAAACAACTCCAATTCCCGACAAGAAATTTGTTCCTTCAAGTGATCCCAACCAAACGCCATTTCATCTGACGTTTTTTGTAAAATTGCAACTAACGTTTAATCCGGCATTCCATCTGGCATATATTGCGCATTCTATTTGACAATCTATCTGACACATATTCTGACACGCTTTCTGACATGTATAATGCACTTTCTATCAATTCTATCCGACATATATTCTGACATTCTATCGGACATATTCATATTCAGACATTCTATCTGACATCTTGCCATATCATTTTGACATGTTTATTCATAACATTCTATATACCTGACATATTTTCAGGCGTTTTAGCTGACATATCTTCTGACATGTTTCCTGACATCTTTCTTTTTTGACATCCTATTTGACATCTATTCTGAAATCCTACTTGATAAATATTCCGACCTGTCTGACATTCTATCTGACAGTCGGACAGATATTCTGTGTCAATCAGATTTGTGTTTGGGCCCGGCCAGAACCAGAAAGAGACCCCCACCACCAACTTCACATACACAGAATCTGCTAAGTTTCGAAGAATATTTCCTAATGGGCCAGTCACAGGTGCGGCGAAGCCAGGGCCTGGGCGACTCCCAGGTGCAGCAGGGGCTACCTGCACACATTCCACAATGGCTCCCACCCTCTGGCACCTGTCTCCACCTTCACTCGCTTCCTGCCGTTCTCCTGTTCCACTTCCCTCCTTCGCGGTGCTGGAATTGAACCACCAGATCCGCAGGCTCCACCAGGAGTGACATGGCCATCATCGAGATGGAGGGGCTGGACAGGCATGTCACCTGCTAACCTTAACAATGCTGAGGTTACCAGGAGCTCCACGTGCTGCTTGAACTCTCCACCTTCACTCGCTTCCTGGCGTTCTATTCGCTGTGTGCGAACTGATCACACCAGATTCACAGGCTCCACCAGGAGTGACATGGTCATCATCGAGATGGAGGGGCTGGATAGGCATGTCACCTGGAGCTCCAGATAACCTTAACAATGTTGAGGTTGGCATGAGCTCCACGGCTCCACGTGCTGCTTGAATTTGCTGCAGGACGGTGCCTGGCTCCACCTTCACTCGCTTCCTGGCGTTCTATTCGCTGTGCTCGAACTGACCACACCAGATCCACAGGCTCCACCAGGAGTGACCAGGAGGTCCTTCTATAACCTGAACACTGCTTGAGTTTGTTGCAGGATGGACTCCTGAGCTTCCAGCATTGCCCTGTTCATATCCTGCTGCCACTGAAGCTTGCACTGCACTCGCCACTGGTCCTCCATCGGTTTGTTCTGATGCTCCTCTACCTTTTGCCTGTATGCAGCAAGTTCTTTCACATTCTTCGCCGTCATCTTGGCACTCCCTTCAACGTGCTGCTCATTCCTGCGGTGCGCGCATTCTTTCAAGTACTGGCCTCGAAGTTGTTCCTTATTGGCCCCCGGTTTCATGAAGTAATTGGTGCCCTTTCCAAGCCCGCCACTGTGCTGTTTGTCTTCGTCTCCAAGGCATCTGAAGCATTCTTGCCGGTCCCTGTAAAGCTGCAGGCAAATCCAGAGCAAGTAGACTTCTCTCCACGCATTGAGATTTTGCTGCGCCACCTCATTTGCTGCTTTGACGGCCACGAAGCCCTTGTCTGAGCCTCCATGGTCAGGGTGCACCAGCTCGAACCACTGTCTGCATCGGCGCTTCTGCCTTCCTGCCCATGCATCCGAGTGCCCTTCAATCACCTCATCCATTCTTAGTTGAAGGGTGTGCAGGGCATCGAGGAGTGGATCGAAAACCACTGGAGGTGGACGAGGTGCACTGTTCGCTGACTCATCGGGGATGATGACGCAACCATCAACCTCAACATATTCAGTCTCCTGCTCCACCTCACCCTCCACCTCATCTTTGGCTGCAGCTGCTCCAGCTTCAGCTGCAGCTGCTCCAGATTGAATTCCTTGAATAAGTTCAACCAGGGCTGCAGCCGCTTCAGCTTCAGCTTCTACAGCTGCTATAGCAGCAGCTTCAGCTTCAGCTTCAAGACATCCAAAAAACATCAACAAGTTGACCCTTTACGTGTCCAGCTTCGCCTTCGGAAGTTCTCTCCTGAGATTCTCAGCCACTCCTGGCGCCATGGTGTGCCGAAACTTAGATCACCATGGTGATATTAACTATCATGGATCATGGAAAACAATGGTATAATAATATATACAAATATATACATACAACATAATAAATGGTATAATAATACAAAACTGATGAATGTTCAGCATACTGAGCTTGTTGACCCAACCATCACTCTAATATTGAAAGATATTGAAAGCACCAGAAATCTTCCACGACACAGAAAAACAATTCAGGAGACTTCTTCGAATATTCAACTATGCTTGGTGGTGGGTACAGACTTGGTTCAGTAACATCACTTGAACCGTCTTGAGCCGATCATTCCTGTTCTTACTAATGCCTGTCAAGGTTGCATAGTGAATCTGATAACTGGATGATAGATATCCTTGGCAATTCCAATTATATAGAGTAAGATCGATTTAATTTGATTCCCAAGTCACAAAAGAACCCCTTGTTTTGCGGCAGTTGAGATATGAAAGGTTATCATAGTTGATCTTGCAAACGTTACAAAATACTCATGTTGTTTATTGCAACCATGCAAGGTGCTGCCCCCGCCACCAGTCAAAGGTTTATTAGTCCCATTAAAGCTAAATAGATATATCTACATATATCTACCATAAACCATACTTAACTAGAAATATATCATATCATGAAATATAAACCATAAAAGTCCAGAAATCATACTTAAACTACTGATTGACACCAACTTAGCCATCATAAATCAGCTAGAAGTCCAATGAAATCACCTGATGAAATCACCGTTTTCCCATGGTTTTCCTCTGGTTTTCCCATGGTCCAGGCACACCATCCCTGTCCTCGCAGCTTTTCGGCATGCCGTTTCTTGATCTCCGCCGTGCCGTCGCGGTTCACCAGATCCGTAACATCTGACTGGATACCTGGGACGGAAAGTGACTTAATGGGTTGGATACATACCTGTTCTAAGGATGTTTGAGGAAAAACCAGGAAACTTTGGATATAACTTAGGTTTCTTTTCAATAAAGTCATGTAAAAATATGTAATCAAATGTGAAATATAGAGGAAACTTATGGAAATCTGGTGTGGTTTTCATCAAGCTAGTGGGGACATCAATCTTACCATTGCAAGAGAAAATCGGGGCAAAGCATTTTACTGGACATAAACGTTTAGCAGCTTACCCACATGGAAACATGAGAGTCACTTGGAAATCATCATGAGAAACAGAACATAACAACATATTGATGTAACGCCGCCAGCCAAATCATTCAACAAATTTGGGGTTTCAGTAAGATACTGGTTGGTGGTTTGAACCCCTCTGAAAAATATTAGTCAGTTGGGAGTATTATTCCAAATATATGGAAAAATAAAAAATGATCCAAACCACCAATCAGAATATGTCTTTTCACCTGGACCATTCAATCGGTGTGGTGTTGAATCCCAGGTTCCTTTCAGATTGGCTTTCCATAGGATTCCAAACCACCTGCCCCACACCACTAGGGAATCATTTGCCATACGTTCTCAAAACATGTGAGCGGAACAGGGAAATCAATAGGGAGACAAACCAACGAAAGTGGAGAAAAAAGGAACAGAAGTGAAGATTCCAGCAAAACAAATGTGGTTTTATAGAAGTGAACCAACAAGAACAACGTCACCGACAAACATGAAGAACGGAGAAAATAAATTCCGGTCGGTGGTTTAGGACCATCATCCCATTTCAGGGCATGGGACATACAACACAATTGAGACCACCAATGTGTAAAAAATGGGAGACCCAAACTTGGATTCTTCAAAGTAATAAGAGTGCCGAGGCATATTTAATTTGGTAAGCCAAATGCCTGTGTGGATTCTTCTCGTAGCCATCCAATTCACACATGGTACTGACAACTACCAAGTACCCAACCCAGGATGTCTATGTAGTATACAGTTGTACGTTGTAGTATGCTAAACCTACAAAACCGTGCACAATTATTGCAGGCATCAACTAGTTTGATAGGCTACCTTGATGTGAACAATTTGGGATGTTAATCTGTCACTTTCTCTATGAAGTTGGCCTTGATCCATACCGATACTCATACTGCCACTCTTGTTCTTAGCCTTATACCATCTCCAGTGTTGTTGATGACTGACCCTGGCCCACTCCTCCCCATTTTCATGCACATTTTAATGCTGACCTCCCGTTCTCATTGACCATCCTCACCTCCAACCACCAGCATGGCTGAAGTATGGGTATAAACCCCAACAAGTCGGGCAGAACCACTCCATGATAAGCCGATTTATAAACCCACCTGCCACCTGAGTATAGATATATCAACCATTACCATAGAAAACCTATAGTGAATTCAACCAACATCCCTATCTTCTTATGGGCCCCCCATCAAAAATTCTAGCCCCCACCCCCAAGCACATGGCGGTCCATTCAGTCCAGATGCCCACCAAATACCAGATATCTTCGCCTGTCTCGGCATCCTTCGCCACGCACAAGCCACGCATGTCCAGAAGGTTCACAAAGAGTTCGCCCGTCTTGCGACGGTTCTGCCTGGGGCTCAGGGCTCGGGGTTGGTATATCCCCCAAATGCTCATGTTTTGAAGAGGGAATGATCGAAAACCAATTGACTTTGGAACATCCACCTAGTTGTAATCAATTATAGATACTTGTCCAGACATAGAATTTTTAAGAATTTTTGACACAGAGTTTTTACTGTAGATGACTGGGAAGTAGGACATCATCCTGTGGAAAATATGTTTAGGATATGGACCCCAATGGACCACACCTAAAAGTGTGTCTCAAACGATGGTATAGCCCTAAAAGTGCAATTGTAATAGAGAACATGGTGGGAAAATGATGGAAAATGATGGAAAATGAAGGTCTAAACCGATGCCCATGTAGTATTTCTACCCGCTACCTTCATTTCAGACAACCGAAAAACTGATCACCTCATTTTTGATGCTCAGGCAACCTGCACTTGCAACCCATGGTCGAGGAGCAAGAGCCCAGTGAAGGGTTTGCCTGTCTGACACGCACGCCGCAACTTCACTCGCTCCGAGAAGCCTCGAGCGGCAGAACGTCAGCTTCGCCCTGTCCCACAAAACAAAAAAGCAGTGGAACAAAGTGAAGCAAAATCTCAGCGATTTAACTATGATTTGACCATGTAAAATTATGGCGTAATGAAAAACAAAAACTCCTGAAATGGGGATACTATACTTCGATGAGTCATGAGACTAGCTCACTGGCCAATTAGGCCCATCTAAGTAGGCCCGAGAAACCCACCCTGAAAACCATCGTCTATTGGAACTGTTCATTTAATTCTAATTGAAAGTATATTTTAAGAACACGGTGGCGCCCCACAAGTTGTCAGTTGGCTTGGCTTCTAAACCATATAGTAACTATATATATATATATCTACCATAAACCCAAACGCTAGTGGAGTCATAAACGCACCAACTTAGCGATTTAGCTAATGGATGGCCAAGCCAAGCCAAGCCGCTCATCTCACAGTCGTGGTTCAAGAAGCGGCAATTCAAGCCAACAATCTCAGCGCATGGGTAGCCTGGAAGCCGTCGGCTAAGCTGTTTTTTTGCACAACAGTGAATCAACTTATCCTGAACTTATCTCATAGATATAGATATGTATATATATGTAATATCTGTTACATATATATATATATATATACATGTTATAACATATATATATATATGTATCCTTGTCAACCTATCTATCGATGACCCTTCACTGTTGGTTTGTAAACCCGCTATAACTGGGGGGAAGTTGGGCAAGCTGGAAAGACCCTTGCAGCGAGGACCTGAAAGAAGCACAGGTCTGCAAAAAAAGGATAGGTGTTTGCAAGATGTTACAGATGTTGTTTCCCCATGTGTCCCCCACAATTTCCCAGTTTCGCACTTGTTGCACTTGTTTTGATCTACTTGGGGGTTGCTATTGGGGCATGCAACTGTACCCTGAATGGTGTAGGAACTTATAGAGCACGCAGGACACGTGCTGCTGTAACGTGTCTTAAAGCTGCGAAAGCCAAAAGGTACAGGTTATGCTTTGTGGGATCCCTTTCATTGGTGATTTCCAATTTGCACGTACTTGGAATGCTTTCTAACTGCACTGCTGTTTTGGTTTCTGGTGTTGCAAAAAAATGCCAAGTTGCTGTTGGTTAAATCTGCACTGTTACCTGACTCAATTCCAAAATGTTGCTTGCTCAATCCACATGTTTGTTCCTTGCACCCCCAACTGGTTGCCGGGTAGTGTAAACTCCAACTAAACATGCAGATATGTCTTTTGCTTAAAAAGTTGAGGTGTTTTCTGGCTGAAATCCACATATTTCTTGCTGCAACACGCATCGTCTTGTGCTAGTAAAATCATAAAAACAATGCCTCATCTTCAAAACACTTTCCACGCATCTTTCCACAGAAAATCCACAGCAAATTGCTGGGTTTCTAGAAGGTAAACCCGACCATCCCCAAGGCATCACCATGAAAAATGGATGGTAAGGTATAAACCATCCCCAGTCATGCTAGGCTTATGGCATGCCAACATGAAACGCAAAACAACTTCCCCAAAAAATGGGTTGTGATCTTCCCCAAATGGTTTTGAATTCCGAACTAGTCATCAACTTCATCAGCCATCATTCTAGTGGATAATTTTCTAAGTGCCATCAATTTCATCATCAATCACTTCATCAACTTCATCATTTCTAAGTTTCCAAAATAGATCCCCATATGTTCATGGTTTCTGAAGCCCTATATGGGGGTTTCCTAAAATAAGGGTACCCTCAAATTATGGTCTTTAATAGGATTTTCCATAAAATAAACCATCCAGCTATTGGGGTATCCAAATTTATGGAACCACCCATATGGTTGTACTATCTTGGTGTGGGATTCAGTCATTGATTCCCATATGTATACACCTATAGTATAGTCATTTGTGGTTTATGAATTAATAATAATAATCATCATCATCATCAACACTCGTTTCTAAGTTTCCAAATTAGATCCCCAAACTTGTCATGATTTTTTGAAGGCCCTATATGGGGGTTTCCTAAAATAAGGGTACCCTCAAATTATCCATTTTAATAGGGTTTTTCATGATTTTTTGAAGGCCCTCTTTGTCAAGAACGGCTCTACTCCGGGATAGATCGCACCTGTCATCGTCTCAAAGGCAGGAGAAACCGCCACGAGTGGCCTCGTTGCGGGTTGGTTGAACCACTTCAGCTGGGAAACAACGACGGGCTTCTTATATCTCTGCATTTGTTTATGTGTATATATATATATATATGTATATGTATTGTGTTATTAATTACATAATTACATATAAAGTATCTATTTATCTCTAATTATAGATTATAATATATATATATATATATTTCATATATATTACCATGTTTCAACTGGAAATGGCTCCCATTTTTTCAACAAACATATGGATGGGAACTGTAGTCATTTTAAGATGAGGAAAAATATGGAAAAGTGTTCAACAGATGGAAGCTAGTTTGAGGATCAAATCATTGTGCCCAGTAGCTGCAAAAACACGGTATCATAAACCAAGCAAGAACTTCATCCTCATCATATCATTCAACAATTCATATATAATTATGGATGTTGTGGGAGGAATCTGTTTTCCTTTGCACAGCATGAATACACGATTGCTGGAATACTTGAACCAAGATACCAATATATGGGCCCCACCTTTGCACTTGTGGTCCATAGCACAAATGCTGGACTTTCCATGACTTTCCCCAGCGTTTCCGCGTCCAAGTCACATATCTGGCTGTGAAGGATCCGCGATGGACACGGAAAAGCTACATTCCGCCACCGCCAGACTCGCAGCTGCGCGGGCCACATGGTCTACCACCTCACCGAGATGCTGGAGGAGCCTTTGTGGGGACGATGATCGTGACTAAGAACCAACAAGAAACGATATTTAACCAGCAAAGTTTTGATTTAACTTACACAAATGGAGATTCATAGGTGATTTGTGATGGTTTAAGTTGGGCAAATCACTAGCTTAAGGACATGGCTTATGGGTATTGAAGTAGTTAAGTGTGATGGTTTAAGCCTAAACCAACTAGAAGGCACCACTTTGTTGAAATCATCCAATTTGATTGTGTTTTTTACTGGGGAAATCGGGAAACATCACTCACTGCAGCTAGATTACTTCCTAGGGATACCATGGTTTTGCCAGATCCATGTCAAATTACTGAAGGATACCTTCTGGTAATCAAACATGGCAACGGAAAATCATCCGTTCATAGATGATGTTCCCATTAAAGCATACATTTAATAGATGATTTTCCCGCTAAAACATCCATTTATAGATTAGTTGCCCATTGAAAACCTCCATTTATAGATGATTTTTCCACTAAAACATCAATTTATAGATTATGTTCCCATTAAAAGAACATCCATATATAGATGATTTACCCATAAACAAATCCATTTTTAGTTCATTGTCCCATCAAAAACTTCCATTTATAGATGATTGTCCCATTAAAAGCATCCATTTATAGATTATTTTCCCATTAAAAACTTTAATTTATAGATTATTTCCCATGTAAAACATCCATTTTATTTATAGATGATTTTCCGATTAACAACTTCCATTTATAGAGTATGTTCCCATTAAAAACCGCCATTTACAGATTATTTTCCCACTAAAAGCATCCATTTATAGATGATCATCCCATTAAAAACTTTAATTTATATGATTATTTTCCCATTAATAACATCCATTTATAGAGTATGTTCCCATTAAAAACCGCCATTTACAGTTTATTTTGCCATTAAAACATCCATTTATAGATGATTTTCCCATTAAACACTTAGATTTATAGATTATTTTCCCATTAATAACATCCATTTATAGAGTACGTTCCCATTAAAAACCGCCATTTACAGTTTATTTTGCCATTAAAACATCCATTTATAGATGAATTTCCCACTAAGCCATTCATTTATAGATTATTTCCCATTAAAAGCATCCATTTATAGATTATTTTCCCATTAAAAACTTTAATTTATAGATTATTTTCCCATTAATAACATCCATTTATAGAGTCTGTTCCCATTAAAAACCGCCATTTAAAACATCCATTTATACCAGAGCCCTCAAAGTGGCTCTAATTAAGTTCATAAATTTGGATCCCCTAAGTGACGCTAATTGGAGGATACTTAGCAATACTTGTCAATTATGGCATAAAACACATTATAATAATATAGGATAACATAGGGTTCATCACATCAAGCAATCAAACTATATCCCTTGAGGGTACCGCCCCAGTCTCACCCCAATATACCCTGGGATGATCAGTTGTGTTTGCTCATTTTTTTTTTGCAAAATTCACATCAGATGGTCAAAATCGACACGTTTTGACACGCAGTAACACCCCAGAAGCTCCAATGACACGTTTCTAAGTACCCATAATTGGTGGGCACTTCCCATGACACGTTTCTAAGTACCCATAATTGGTGGGTACTTCCCATGACACCTTTCTAAGTACCCACCAAAAGGCATCACCTTAGGGGGGTCATCGACACGGGAATGACACGCGATGGCACGCAACAAGTGCCTAGATTTTTCATTTGCTTTACAATTCAGATTCAGGGTCTGGTGGTTTCTAAGATTGGGATGTGTGTGTTCCCAATCTCGGTATACCCTGGCAGGAGGGAAACGGATGACATCCTGTGTGGGGATTTCATATTCCAGCCCATCAATGAGCAAAAGAAAAAGTGACGCTAATTGGTGACCTATGCTAACAGGCCACTAATGGTGGGTACTTAGAGGGTGCTGGTAGATGATTTTCCCACTAAAACATTTATTTATAAGGGAATTTCACTTTTCCCATCAGCACCTTGTGGCTGATCAACGGTTGCAGTGCCAGCTCTTGCATGTAGCCCACTACAGGCATTTCCTCGGAGCAGCAAGGTCTGGCTACCTTTTTGGTAGGAAGAACTTGGTGGTTGCACTTTAATTACTCTCTGGGAATTTAACGCAGCTATGGAAAACCACATCTTTAGTAGGTAAATCCTCTGTACTTGGGTCATTTCCCACTTAGTTTACTCCAGTTTATCTTTAACTGGGATCACATCCTATTTGTATCTATTTGTGCGCTGAAACAAACAGAATCTGCATGTGAATTGAATTCATCCAGTTTGTTCATGATGGAAACACCTATTTGAAACAAACAGAAATGGCAAGAGAACATGCTGCAGCTGGCTTGGACGGAAGTCCGTTTTTGCAGAGGCTGCATCTCCCATGTCTTCTAGTTTTCTTAAGATCAATCCAGTAAACCTTCATTGTCCTTGGAAGATTCTTGGCTGAAATCAGCGAAACTTATTTTCAAAGGGGGGCAATAAATCCAAATCTGGAACCCTAAAATCCATGAACATCCAATGATTTAACACGCATATGTTCCAGGATTGAACCACTTTTTTGGGGGGGTTAGACATACCCAAGTTGTTTTGCCCCAGATCTTCCAAGAACACCTGAGGCGGCCTATCAGTCGTGCGCCAAGTGTCATAGGGCAGCAACATCAGCTCGTACGCTTGACCCCGACAGTCGACCAAGGCATAGTAGTCCTTCTGTTCCAAAGGTTTCCTTCAGAGTTTCTGGAGAGAAAACATCTTGGATTCACCAATGCTGGTCATAAAGGATAACCATCCCCAAGTCATCAGCATGTTTATTGGGTTCTATGAATTATCCCCAAATGAAGAATTTCATGGGGACAAAAGTGAAAAGGGTGTAAAATAACAAAAAAGAGAATGGTAACATGTGGACATTTGCAACATGTTTGGTCAACACGCGTGAATATTTACAAGATGATGCCCCCCCTCAAGTTATAAGTTGGTTTGTAAAGCGTTATATTCCCCATACACCCTAGTTAGCGAAGTTGTAAGCCAACTTAGCTGTTCAGGGGAATCACCTTGTAGTTACCAATCAGCAAGAACGACTACTGTAGTGATGGCACGCCATTTTTGGAAGGATGGACCATTAAAGAAAACTGGCTGGAATGTCAGTGTAGAGGTTTTAGGGTTTCGCCCATTTTGAGACCATCGCATATACCATGTTGTTGGTTATATATCCAATTTTATTCCTAGTATAACTGTAAATATATATATATATATATAATTATATAATTATATACAATATGTATCTATCCACTTAAATTCCCATTTCACCCACGTACATCAGCATATATGTGGCTTATGAATGCACACACACACACATCCAAGAGCAATGGCCTTTGCTCGCTTGGTCTCTTTCAATGCTATGCTCATTCGATCCCCTTGTTTTCCGAGTAGATTCCCCAAATCACGTTTTTTTCCCATAGGAAAACTATCAACAAAACATCTTCAGCAAATCCACCAAAAAACAATTCATCTAAGATTGAGCAAACGTGGGAATATGTTAACCACCAGCTAGGCTAATCATTCATCTTCAGCAAATATATGGAGGTTTCCTAAAATGGGGGCACCCCTAAATCATCAATTTTCAATAGGATTTTCTATTATAAACCATCCAATTTGGGGTAACTCCATTTTAGGAACCCGCCAAGCAATTTGTTTCAACCACCAAGCTTCCCAGTCGACACCGTGAGCACGGTCTCGTAGTTCCTATAAGCGAGCGGAGACCCCAGAAGAACCCGTTTTTGCTAGAAGATTCTAGAAGATTCTCAAGTATTAAACATTAACCTCCAGTAAATTAACATAGACCCTGCCAGATAGGGGTTGGAAGATTAGTTTCCATTAAAAATAGGTAATTTTCAGGGTCTATGTTTATTTACCAGAGGGTATATATTAAACTATCCAAGATTGACCAAGGAGACATCACTATGTCAGGTGGGAACTCCACTTACTCAACTGGGGCTGTGATTGATCCTGCGACCTTCGACTGGAAAAAAAAAACTTCTGCTCGACATGATCCAATCGAAAGGCAGCAAGAAAGATCGCGAAAGATACCATGAAACCTGATGAAGAGGTCTGCTTTGAATTGCCCATATATGTTGGTTGGAAGATATCTGCATGATTGTTGGTTGAGATATTCTTGCACAAAAGGTACTATTTATTATTTCACGTCATTTGTAGCAAAGAAGACAAGCTCTTAACCGTTGGTCATCCAGTTTCCCCTGATTTCCCGCTGTCAAGGCTCAACATCAAGTGAATGTCTCCATTGGGCGCATATAGCATGCCTCAAGGCTGCGATCTGCCAGAGTCCCATAGCCCTCTGGTAAACATACAAAAAGCTATGGAAAACCACCATTTTTAATGGGAAAATCCACTATAAATGGCCATTTTCAATAGCTATGTTAGTTTACCAGAGGGTACATGTTATAAATTATGTATCCTCCATGCATCTCCTGAAGCCAGATAAATGGACAGCCATAGACACCCTCCTGCTTGGTGTAAAAGGCAAACGCATTTACGAGATGAGACTTCTAGTGGATATCACAAACAATGGAAACGATGTTGAATTTCCGGGAGGACAAAGTGTCTTCCAGGTGCAAAGGTCCTGGGTTAGCTAGTTTGCTGTTGGCTTTCTGGTGGTTTAACTATAGTTGGGGCGACTTAAACCAGCAAACCTTTAGAATGTATAGATGTGTAACTCAAATCTAGATATAATTTGATAACTATTAGACTATAAATAACTATAACATATATACATACGTATAGTTATTATACATATTATGTATGTATGTATATATATATATTTAATATATCTTCAAGGTCATACATCGCAAGAAACATAAATCGTTTGGGGACACCACCTTGTCCTTGTCCTTTCTCCCATTTGTCGCCGGGACACCCATGACATCGCCTTCCCCGAGGTCCCATGGTGTAGTGGGACGATTGCGCCAACGCGGCTGAGGTCCCTCGAACTTCTGGAGTTCCTGGCCGAGTTGGGGATGAGACAACTGTTGGGGATGGGTTTGTAGGTAATTGTCTAGTTAATTGTCTAGTTAATTGTCTGATGTTGTCTTTATGAGATACTGATGTTGAATCTGAAGATGACTGAGTTAATTGATGTTAATTGTCTGATGTGGTCTTTATATGTCTTTATCAAATATGGATGTTAAATTAACATGTTGGATATGAACTTTAGCTGAAAACTAAGATGGCCGTCCTGAAGCTATGTGCGATTCGAATGCTCCCACCGCATGGTGGATCTTAGATACGTGCCAACAAAAAACCATTGATATCAGAATATCAAAGCACTAAAGTATCTAACTAAGGTTGACCCCAGGAACACAGTGAAGATAAGAATTGTGAAACTTAGCAGAATTTCTTTTCAGTCTTTGATTCTTTGTGCAAAATACTTATCAGTATCATGCTTGGAGGTTGGGTTATGAAGAGTTGGGTTCTTCATTCTCTAGCCACCAAATGTTTGCATGATTTCCCTATCTTCATAGTGGTGCTACATCATGCCATACCACAACCCAGAACTGCATGAGCCCCAATAATGCATGGGTAAATACTAAACACAACCAGCTCTAAGTCAGCCCTAAAGCCTATATGGGGGAGGTTGGATATATACCATGATATATCCCATTATATTACATTATATGTATCTTATATTATATCCCAATTATATCATATCCTCAATAAAGACCTCCAAAGTTGTGGATACAATGACCCTTACCTTGCCCTCCAACTCTCCTCCTCCAAGGCAGATGTTCCATGGAAGTGTTGCTCCTTCTCCCGCACAAAGGCCTAAAGACGGGACGGGTCTTGGTCCAGGACGGGGAAGCAGTGTGGTCAGTTCTGGCAAGCTTGATCTATCTTGATTCTCGCAAAAGGATCACTAGAAATTACAAATCTGGTGGCACTTGTGCTACGAAACACTGCCAACATGAGATCCAAGGGCAGTTCACACAGCGCATCGCAGACAAATGCTGAAGTCACCCCATTCCTTTTGCAGAATATGTCGGCATCAGGTTAACAATCGCAGCCAACATATTCAGGACGTTAAATCCTGGAACACATCAATAATCCTGCACCCACCACAAGTGCAGAAGTACGCCAAGCTGTTTGGCTTCGATAGTAGTCACATAGTTGTATGTTTCGAAAGCCTCACCAAATTTGATCCTCAAAAAGCTGGATCCATACCATGACCGTCCCAGGAAGTATGTCTGGCTGGCCGTTTGGCCGTCGTACGGCCCATTATTTAGTACACAAGTATGCTTGAAGGGGAAAGGTTACCAAATATTACATCACCATTACTCCTGGAGTCCATTACTTCAGGTGTCTTGCAGGAAACTGAATTGATCAACACTATTAATCTTCAACCATCTGCACCTACAAACACTAGTGTCCACCATATCACACCATCGCCCTATAGCCGCCATTCGCAGACTGCCGCCTGGAATTCACCTCCAATACACACGCTCTTTCCACACCATTCCGCACGCAAGGGATATCCGTCTCGCTGCATGTCTTCGGGAGAGATGGTCGACAAACCCAACATGGGCCAGCTCGTGTGCCTGTGGCGACGGACGATATGTGACATCGTGGAAGACTGGGGCAAAAGCAAACTTGTCCCGGCCTTGGGAGCATCTGCAACTTCAGATATCCCCAGAAGGCCCCCCAAAACCCAAGCAAAACGAATCAGTTTCTTGCAGATCTTGCAAAACATCTCAAACAATCCCGCGCAACACGAGTACCTCAACCAAACCAATCATGTCATGCGAAACTGCTTTGTTGGATCCCACAATAAGCCTGAAAACTTAAGGCTTCCCAACCTATGAGCACGTCCGATTCCCAATCATGGTGTTGCAACCGATATCACATGATATGACTTGACACATCCCACAAAAATATATAATTAGACCCTCTGGTAATTTGACATAGCTATCGAACATGGCCATAGAAATAGTTGATTTATCTATGAGAAGTGGGGATTCTCCATAGCTATGCTAGTTTACCAGAGGGTAGACATCTAGACATCTGCGCGTTCACTGGGATTGTCCCTCGGATTATCCCTATCGGAGGAACCCATCCAAGATGCCATCCATCGCGCAAGACACCTTCCATCCGAAGCGCGAAGAAGAGCCCTTGTCGAGTGCGACGGATGGGATTCTCGCTGATGACCACCTTTTTTCAAGGCGCCAAAAAACGGTGAGTTTAGCGTTTCATATGGTGATTTAACCATGATTTCACCATGGTTGCCATGCATGATAAATGGTGATTTAAGATGGAATCTAAAAGGATGTCGTTGATGTCATGGAGATATCATCTGATTTAACATAGCTGTGGTATTGTGGTAATGTATATAATATATATATATATATACGTATATATATATACGTATAGATGGCCCGTTTAGTTCGATGATGCGCCGTCTTTAACAGGGTGATTTTTATAGCTATGTGGCTATGTTACCAAAGAGTCATCATCTCCAACTATAGTGAAGTTCTCATGGAACCACATCGAAGAGCATCAACAAACTGCCAATCCCTGCAAAATGCAAGCCCTGTAGTGACCATTTGACCCCCCCAAAAAAGTTTGTCTATGCTGGACTTCCCAAATATTCCGTGTAGTCAAGGCCTCTTTGTGCCTAATTGCACATTGATGGTGTGTTTTCTGAAGATGTCCATCTCTCATAATGTACTGTCATTATCCCCCCTTCACTTCTTGAATACTTTATGATTTGTTTGTGACATTGTGCACGTTTGCATCAATCTCATAGAATCTCATTCTTGCTCAAAAGATCTCTCCATGTGTTGCGTTGAAAATCAAATTTCTACTGCCTCGATCACACATTAAAAGTGCACTTGAATTCCCGGGTTCTGCTACTTCAACCTGCATCTTCTCATATTTGGGTCCCTAAACATGCATGTTTTGCCCGTTGTTCTACAGTTGTTGGTTTCTTCAACCTCCAAACAAATCTCCAAAAGCAATGGAAATCTCCCGCATCCAAAACAACCAACAAAAATCATGTTGAGCGAATCCACTCGCTCAAAACCGCTCAATAACTATACCCAAATGCTCCATGTATGGTATATTTACCTACATAACTGGGTGATTTTTAGGGCAAATGGGCTGGGAAGACGTCCATTTTTGAGTCATCCAGGTCCCCTCGTCCGCGCAACCTCGCGGGCCCCGCCTTTTCGCCAAAAGCGCTGACGGACCGTGTGATCCTGCTGAACGACCGGCGCACGGTGATGCGACGCGAGCCTGCAATTTGCTGGAATTGGAGCCCTTCCCCCAAAAGAAATATGTAATTTGGGGCATACAACCCACTTTCAGTCGAACTCCAACATCAAAATGTTGGTTGGATGATACAGATGTGTCGGAAAATGTATGAAAATCTTGTATGCCCCTCATTGAAAGCGATGGAAAATTACAATTAACTCATGGATTTAAGGGTAATTGCCCAGATAAACTTTTTATATAGGATCATACATGCATTGTATATATATATATATAATTATATATACATATACATACCACACTATATCAAATATGATTGTCTATAGGGTACCTCCAAAGTTGATGGTTGATCCTCAGTTCCTGTATCAAAATTGCTAGGGTCCCCAATTCATTCCATTGAACCACTGTTTCTATTGGTTGAATCCCATGCTTTCCTGGCAATCCCATCCCTGGCAATATCCCTACATCCACCATGGCTTTCTGCAGGGTGTTTTTTTTTATATGGACATGGATTATATTCCCATGATCTATATGGTTGGTTTTCATAATACCCCAATTATTCCGATGATTGATTGTTGTTGGTTATATCATTATAACTCAATGAAATATGTATATTCCCACGACTTAATAGGATCAAAATTGGCATGATATAGCCAATGAGATTAATATTCCTATGAAGTATAGTGATTTATCATATGATAATTACGATCCCATTTAATTAATTAGTCCTAATGTCCCCATATATAATCATTTATAATCCCTGTCAATCATGATGGGAATATACTCATTTATCCTACATACAATATCCCATTTTGTCATAATAATATCCCATTATAAAATATTCCCCGCCTATTATATTAATACAGTATCATACAGTATCCCATTGAATCCCAACATTTTCCACCTCATGGTGAGATTTACTATAAATACCCTTTGGTTATTTAACGTAGCTATGGGAAATCCATATGTTTTAATATGTAAAAAAAACATCATCATGTTTATCATCGAACTAGATGGGCCATTTCCCATAGCTATGTTAAATAACCAGAGGGTAATGATCGTGAAGCCTGGAGCCCATCCTCCACCCCCTTCACCATCATCCCATCCCAAAAAGTTGCTTGGTCATTATAAGCTGAAAGACTTGGGGGATTAGTATACTGAAACAAAGTTCTTGTAATTACGAGTAGTTGGATTTATATATGGTAATGATAGTTACATTGATAGTTATATTGATAGTTTCCTAACTATAGTTATAATATAATATGATATTGATAATATTAGCAGGTATAGTTGCGTAGGTATATACCATTATATGATCTCCCTCCTTTCACCAACCCCGGTTGTTTCCGCGGCACAGGAAGTTCTCCTTGGTCAGCAAGGTGGTGGCCTTCTCTGACAGCCCCTGCTGCAGGATCACACGGATCTGTTCGATGAATGCGTGCTGGTCCTGGCGTAGGTGATGGATGTAGCTGGGGGTTTGTTTCTGTGTATATCAAACTGGGGATATATTAATAATATATGTCTATATATGGTCCAGTGTTCCAACCCCCCTCCCCCCCGGCCATGGTCATGGGTCAGCCATAGTACTCTCCCCCCTCCCGCCCCATGTGGTGTGGCGGGGGTGTGGTACTGTCCCCCTCCCCCCCTGTGGTGTTGTGGGGGTGTGATACTGTATGGATGGTAGGTATGGTATGTATGTCTGTTGGGTATGGTATGTTTGATATGTATGGTATGTATGGTATGTATGGTATGTATGGTATGTATGGTATGTATGGTAGGTATGGTATATGTTAAACACATGTAGTGTTGTGAGAGTACACAGGCAGTAAATAGGAAGTAGATACATAGCACATGTATATATGACTATAGGTAGCACGTAGGTACTTTGAGGGAGTATGTGTGCTACATAGGTCGTCTAAAAGGTAGCATGTACCTAGAAAATGCGAGGCTGGTAGTCAGAAATGCTGCAAAGACCTAGCAAATACGAGGCTGGATCTCAGAAATGCTGCCAATAGCTTGCAAATAGAAGGGAAAGGTGCTACTTGGGGACCCATACCAGTGGGGGGTAGGAACACGGAGCACGAGACCACATATATATGTTGCATATATATAATGTATATCTATAATACAAGTAATATATATATATATATACATATGGTTAATGTATATCTGAGTATATCTATAAGAATTCTACAAGATAATTATATGTATCAATCTCTATGTATATCAAATTATCAAATATAGTCGTAGTGTTTACCCTGGGTTTACAATAAGATCTGCAAAAGCCATGGTGAAACCCAAGGAACAACAAATCTACATTCATGGTGGGTAAACAACACATCCATGTTAGTCTACAGGAGAGAACGTGCTTAGTGTTTGTGGGCTGAACCAAGGTAAATAAGGCCAGTTATAAATGAAATAACAAGGGTTTTACAAACAACCCTTGAAACGCCTGAGTGGATGATCCCTCCAAGTGGCAAAGGGATTTTTTGAAATTTTCTGGACTTTTTCTTCGCACTGGGTGGCTTGCCTTGTAGTGGTGTAACCATGCAACAAAAAAAGAGAGTGAAACATCGGGATTCCACAGTCAACCCAGTCGGTGTCCACGGATCTTTCTTGGCTTAATTCTACTGGGGAATATGGAACTTTTCTTTGTTCAGATACATTTGGCACGAGGTCATCACCCCCAAGTAAACAATCATGAACAAATCGTAACAGTTTTTTTGGGGAAGTTCAGCAATCACAAAATTTGGGGAGTTTTGTCCACAAAATCTGCTCGGATGGCGACAAAAAATCATCGAAATGTCATGGAAATGCACATCAGGGACGGCCATGTGGCCATGTGGTTTCAGCATATCCACATTGATGTACAGTAATTACTGTCTATGGTGATCTATGATGTACTATGTACCAATATGTACCACTTATGATGCCACTTATTGCACATTTCATTGGCATTTCTCCACAGTCGACTATAGCACTAGCACTCGACCAGGATTCGGATCGCGGGTCCTGTTTCACCTGTGTCATGGACTCATCTGAGGCCATCTCACATTGCCTGACACCGGGATGTGCCCTCCAAACAAGCGCCTTGTTGGTTGGGGAAACCCACCCATCCCAGGCCATTGGGGATCATCATCCCAGGCCACAAAAAGGGTGCTGAGATGTGCCAAGATGTGCCAAGTGTCACCCCAACGAGGAAAGGATGTTCATTCAGTAAGACCAGGCCCACGGCAAACATGTTGAGGAAGGTGTTACCATCACGCTTCCGATTGGTTTGGCAGCAGCTGGTGCTTCCCATGTTCGACAAGCCAATCAACCTGCAAGAAGATGGACAAAAAAAATGTGTTGGTGCCAAGAATCAACGTCCAACTCTCAAACATCAAGGTCATGTGGCTTTCAGGCCCAAACTCATCTGGAAAGCAACTCACTGTATCTACCGACGACATGGAGATGTGTGAATTCCTTCCATGGAACCATGTTCAAGGGATAAGCCTACATCTACGAGCCATTTGGGGTTCTCCATCCAAACCAACATCATAGATAATTGCTGTTGTGTGTTGTCCATATACTTTCAGTAGATACATCTCACGTGTGCACGGGATATCAAGCAACTATCATTCTCACTGTATAATATACCACGTTAAATCCCACTTGTTTCCACCATTGTATTCCCCAGCGATTTATCATAATTTCCACCATGGATAAACTTTGCCATTACAATCCATGAATTGCTGGAACTCCACCACAATATCCCATCATATCCCAGAAAGTGGATGGATGGATGGATGGACGGACGGACGGATGGATGCATGGATGGATGCATAGATGGATGCATAGATGGATGCATAGATGGATGCATAGATGGATACATAGATGGATACATAGATGGATGCATAGATGGATACATAGATGGATACATAGATGGATACATAGATGGATACATAGGTGGATACATAGGTGGATACATAGATGGATACATAGATGGATACATAGATGGATACATAGATTGATGCATAGATGGATACATAGATGGATACATAGATGGATACATAGATGGATACATAGGTGGATACATAGGTGGATGCATAGGTGGATACATAGTTGGATACATAGATGGATACATAGATGGATACATAGATGGAAACTTATAGATGAATACATAGATAGATGCATAGATGGAAACATAGATGGATACATAGATGGATACATAGATGGATACATAGGTGGATACATAGATGGATACATAGGTGGATACATAGTTGGGTACATAGGTGGATACATAGGTGGATACATAGATGGATACTTATAGATGGATACATAGATGGATGCATAGATGGATACATAGGTGGAAACATAGATGGATACATAAATGGATACATAGATGGATACATAGATGGATACATAGGTGGATACATAGGTGGATACATGGGTGGATACATAGGTGGATACATAGGTGGATGCATAGATGGATGCATAGATGGATACATAGATGGATACATAGATGGATACATAGATGGATACATAGATGGATACATAGATGGACACATAGGTGGATACATAGATGGATACATAGATGAATGCATAGATAGATACATAGTTGGATACATAGATGGATACATAGGTGGAAACCTAGATGGATTCATAGATGGATACATAGATGGATACATAAATGGATACATGCATGGAAACATAGATGGATACATAGATGGATACATAGATGGATACATAGATGGATACATAGATGGATACATAGATGGATACATAGATGGATACATAGATGGATGCATAGATGGATACATAGATGGATACGTAGATGGATACATAGATGGATACATAGATACATAGATGGATACATAGATGGATACTTATAGATGGATACATAGATAGATACATAGATAGCTAGCTAGAAAATGGATAGATGGATCACTTGATCCATAGAATATAGAAATATAGAACGATGGACAGATAGAACGATAGAAAGACAGAACCAAAAAAAAATAGATAGAGCGAGCTAGAATTTAGCTAGACAGGTTTAGCTAGATTGATAGATCTGGAGGTTTCCAATCCATGGGGGTACCTCCAAATCATCCATTTATATATGGCATTTTCCATGAAATAAACCAACTATTTTATGGAAACTCTCATCTTATGATATTGATAGGTCATCCATTTTAGATTGGGACTTGCCATTATAAACCAACCATTTTGGGGTACTCCCATTTATGGAAAACCACCAGTTTGTAATCAGTTTATAATCAATATCCATATGCTCCATGGTGCTGGAATATTTACCAACATTTGCCCTCAAAATCACCCAGTTATGTAGGTAAATATACCATACATGGAGCATCTGGGATATAATCCCATTGAAATACCCTCTGGTAAACTAACATAACTATGGAAAATCACCATGTTTCATGGGAAAACTCACTATAAATGGGCCATTTTCAATAGGAATTTTTGGAATAACCAGAGGGTAACCAGTTCTAAGTAATAGCCATGGCCAGCCATTTCGCTGTAGATCTTATGATATAAAGCCATGGCCGTCTCATTGGGATTTCCCCATGAAAAATCAACCAGCCACGTCTCATTGGGGAGGCTAGCCACTTATGGAAACCCCCAAATATCATTGGATATAAGTACTGAAATAACACCCTTTATGGAAAGGAAATAGTATGATCCATGTTTCTATATTTATCTATAATCTATAGATAATAGATGATAATAGATAATCGTTCTTATTTCCTAATGTAGAATCCCATTGAAAAACCAGTTATTTAGTAGCCATGGCCATGTAGATCTCATCACCAGCGCCTGCACATGCGGATCATGGACCGCAGATTCCGCCGCCCGGACCGTGAAATGCGGCAGCCCGGCACGTCCTTCAAGAGGAACCTGGCGACGTCGAGATTCCCGGGATGACACGTGGGGAGATCACAACAGAATGGTGCCCACAAGTGATGTTTCTTGGTTTATAAACCATTATAACCATAAAAAGTAGTTCGTTATATCTACCATAAACCATATAGAATTCAGCCACTTATGAGGCAACTGAACGCTTTCTTGGGGGCCCCATCCTGAAAACAATGGGATTTTCATGGGCGTATTTTTTGAGATTACTGCATATTAGGGGTGTTTAAAACCAACCAATCTTGAGAATTGGATTAAGGGAGAAATTTCCCAGTAGACGTATAACATAACGTTTTCCTGTAGATTCCCCCATCAATTTCAAGATAAGAATTTACCACAATGAACGCGTTCTGTTCCCTATTGGTATTGGTATGATTCATTCAACAATGTATTCAATTATTTCTCCATCATCAGCCACACAAATGTCTATCAAATTACGGGAACTGCATAGGTGTCCCACCGTCCCACCCTAAAAATATTGGTTTCAGTTTCAGATTGTTTCAAACCTAAAATAGTTGATGTGTTTTCCCAGGTATAATCTACAGTTGTCAATGGTAAAACCTGGTTGCCCCCCCCAATTAACCATTCCAATATTAGATGATGAAGATTCGCCTTTAGTGATTGTCGGTGGTTTATAGGTTTAGAAACCCACCACATATTGGATTTGGGTCTTGATCCTAGCAATAAACATGAATAAACATAGTGACATAGTGGATCTTCGGCCCCCCAATAAACCCTAGGAATCACCCATCAACCATTATCAACCCGTAGGCTTCATCGGGTCTGCGGCACCTGCAATTCTGTCCCAAGATCTCATCCCTGCTGTAGCCACCTGAAGCGATGAAGTGTTTGCCATATTTTCTTGGGACTTACACTCTGGTGATTTAACGTAGCATCACCATTTTTGATAGGTAAATCTGTCTGCCTCTCTCTCTCTCTCTATATATATATATCATATATATATATATCATATATATATATAAGCCATGTTCCAGCCATAGCTATGTGAAATAACCAGAAGGTGACAAGCAAATACGATGAAACATCTGGTTGTTCTTCGTATTGATTTGAGATGAACTTCTACAAAGGAGACTTGGATGTTGTCCATCAAATACACGAGTTTGGCGTATATTTCTCCTAAACCAGTCTTTGGGATATGGATAAATGGCTTGAGTCAATCCCCAAAGTTTAAATAATTAGGAAACATCATCATCTCCTTCGCAGGGATAAGCTCATTGAACATGTTGCCCGCAACCCGCACATTTGACCAGACCACACACCCTAAGCATTGATTGGCAAAGAGCAAAACACTGTACGCAGGATCTACCTTGAGGGTTTTCGGCTTAGGGTTGCTGCTGTAGGGTCTATTTCTTAGGGCCTTTAGGGCCTAAAGGTCTTAGTGCATAGCAAACTGCAAAAAACACTGCGCATAGACAGGATTTGTTATCATTGAAAAGCAGCGTTTGTGCGATCGTCTGGACATACATGTGGTGCTCCAGTCTCTGGAAGTGCTCCGCGCTCAAGCATCATGGTTGCAGCGAACATGTTTAAAGCCACTGACCGGATTTGTTGAGATACAAAGTTGAGAAACCAAAACAATGTATTGAATTTCAAGAATCAATAATGAAAAGTAGATGTCGACATGGTGATGTTACTTTTGACGTATTGATGTTACTATGTTGGGTCTCGGAAAAACCAAATGCATCGCCAGGGTATGGCTGTGGATCAATGGACATCAATGGACCCCGAGCAACCCAATCATTCACTCTCCAAGCGTTGGGTAGATGGATACATATCATATCTGTGTATCTATATATCATAAATAGACATAAATAGATATAAATATAAATAGATGATCACCAGTCAATCATGTGAATCATGAAAAATCACCATTGAAATACACACATACAAGGTGGTGCCCAATAAATCGTTGGCTCAGTTGGTGGTTTATGCTAAATATATCTATAATGTGGTTAACAAATTATATAAAAAACCCTCCGTTTTGGGATGGTTTATACCACCCATTTATCCATTTATGGTGAATTTAGGAATGGTTTACTATTGTTTTAACCACATTACTTACCTGGTTGGTGGTATACCTACCCCTCTGAAACATATGAGTTCGTCAGTTGGGGTTATGAAATTCCCAATATATGGAAAGTCATAAAATTCCATGGTTCCAAACCACCAACCAGATAATTGCATGTCACCCCAAATTAGATGCATTTCCTATCATTTCCTCACCGGATGCTTTGTGAAAAAAAAGCTTCCCAACTTCCTTTGACTGTGGTTATAAACCAACATAAACCAACTTATAACTGGGGGGGGGCACCACCGGGCACCACCCAAGTAGCGTTTCTCGCCACCATCGCCGTGGCACTGAGTTTGGCGAAACTGTCTGAGACTCCAATCACCGGACAGTCCGGCACCAGGGCATCGGCCAGAACGCAGGGTTTCTCGAAGGTGTCGATCAAGAAACCCACCTTTCTGAGGGAAAAATAGGCCATGGCCGTGGTTAAATGATGTTCAATGCTTGGTGAATATATTGACATCATATGTAATGAATGGTTCAGAATATACTAATATAATTATTCTTATGTATATGTTATATAAACATGTGCTGGTTAATACATTGATATAACTAGTCTTATGATGAAATGTATGAAAACCCAATAAATACATTATAATATACTAACTATAACTATTGAAGGTATGTTGGGGTGTCTTATAAACCCAATGCATACTAGAGTTATGTCCAAGATGAAATCCTAGTTAAGCTAGTTATATGTCAACTTAGCTATCGTAAACGGGGGCCTCACCTTGTACCACAGGCTGGTTGTGAATTCTACTGGTTGGTTCATATAACTGTTCTTATGATAAAGATATGTAAAGTATAAATAATCTATATAACTAACTACTAACCTGATGTGTTTAGTTAAGCGTAAGCGTATGAAATTAATTGGTGTATTAATACTCAATACTCAGGAACAATCAGTTCTATTGTGTATTTCATTAGCAAGAAGCTCACCTGATATATACCTCTGATCAATACACGTGTGCTATATGAATCAACTTGTAGCTAATTAGTTATATTAATACCACAAAACTTGTAATGTGTAATTGTGAAACCATAGTGTGATATTATAGAACTCATCACAGCTTGCAATGCTTGCGAATAGTGGTGAATTATAAGTTATACCTAGAGAATCGTGGATTCACCTATTCACCACCAATAAATTGGAAACTCACAATGAAGGCTTTTCACATCTTGTTCTGTTCTTTTTTACCAAACAAACCTCTCCAACGTTGGCATCTTACGAATTTCGGCCTCGCGATAGAGGCTCCGGGCGCTGTTGATGCTCAGTTGTCGCACCGGCTGCAGACGGTCCAAGGTCACCGCATCACCTTCGATGCTTTCGGGGCACACCATCCGCTGCGGCGTTGGTCACCGGAACTTGGGCCCTTCCAGAAAAAGGGGTGGCCGAAAATTGGCGGAACGCTTGAGCCAAGCAAGTGATGATGATACATCTTGATACTGATGATATTGATTTTGATGATGGTATTGATATTGATACGTTTTACGTTTAAAAAATAATGATATATATATATATAGTCTTGTCTTAATCTAGTGTATATAATAGTATACTATCACTGAAGACTGAAGGCGTAAATTCTGGGGATTACAAGCACAATCCCTATCAAACACTGGAAGTTCGTCTCCAATGAAATTATATATATATAGTAGCCCAACTGCTGAGCTTGGTGCCTCCTAAAGAAGCCTTGTAGCAACCCAGCATTGAGGCACAGCATCTCATATCTTTTCAATGGAAAACCATACCTGGACCCCTGGAACACTTCGAGAAATTGCTGCAGTTTTTGCCCCAACTGTTTGGTATTTCTTGACCAAATTCTGTCTGTTGGGACGTCTCAAGGCCATATTAATGAACATATATGGACCCCCCGGTTCAACGAAAACAAAACTGTGGGGGTCGCCTGGGGACCTGGGAACAACTTGACCTTTCGCAGTGGGAGGTGAGCATCTCATGAAAAGTATGATGGTCATTCATATCAAAATAGCTGGTCCATGGATGTTCATCCCCTCATAATTCTATAGGTATTTAATTGGCATATATTGGCATTCATATATTTATTCTCGGTGTTTTGTTTGCTTCTGCCATATCTAAACCCATCATAGTCGTCATGGTCGATCTGGTTCAAAACAAATGTTTTTGTTAGCTGGTATATATCCGCATTGAATACAAAGGATTAAAGTACTACTCTGTCCATGGTTGATGAGAAATTGTTTTTGAATCCCATTCTTTCTGAGTAAAATTATTACACTACCCGTGGCTCAGGAGACTTCATGTCAACCCAATGCCCTTTCCATTTGACATGTCTTACAGAGCCATACTTATTTCTTACATGACCATGGAAACCCTTAACACAAAAACATCCTTCGCCGTCTTCATGCATCTTCTACGTTGCAAACAAAAGACATCAACCATTGTTCAACATCGACCCAGGTTACGTGGGTAGCCTCCAAGTTTAGCGTTGAAATGCGGCAAAACCCTATCCCCCAGGTTTCATGCGTAACTGATAACTGTGGCCCAAGACCTAGTTGGGAGCTGCCTTTGGATCCCATGATCCCTATTCTCAACTGCCTTGGAGGGGACGTTCCAGCCTGGGCATGGTGGCCACATCGTAGCCATGGTAGAGGTACAGAAGATGGACTTCAAAACATGAATGGCTCAATGATTGTAAGAAAAAACATATCATACCATGTATGGATCCATTGGCAACTAATGCTTGACACATCCCTGAAAAGAAATGCGGACATATTTCAAGCAAAGGTGGCCTTACATGGGGAACCTTACACAGACATGGATAGGAGCAGGTGAACCTTGGGTATAGCAGGGTTTCAAATTGGTCCTCCCGATGGCTGATTGAAACAAAAAACACCATCAACAACAAGTCAAGTGGTAGTTCAAAGGACTTCATGGCCGGTATACAAAGGGGATAATGATATGGGTCAAACGTGTCCACTTCGCAGATTTGGGCCATTTATTGGAACATCCCCGCATTGGGGTGATTTTGCTTCAATCATCCCTAGGTTTTCGATGGTATGACTAAGCATAGCTAGAAGTTGGCTTGTTTTGTATCGAAAGTTGTGGTTTTGTCTGAAAATAGGCTACTGCAACATTTGATGCTTCATAACAAAAAATATGTTAATTTTCATGTTCCCATTCAGATATGGTAATAACATTTAATAACTGGAGGTATCCCCCAACTTTCGAAAAACAGACCTCCAAAGGAGGTAAATCCTATCATTGCCGCCTTTGTGCAAGCTGGTGCTCCCCAGTTGTGTTGGTTTATAAACCCACTATATAACTATATATAGATATATACTGTGTATGTATATATATATATGTTTATAAATCGACCATAAAGAAGTCGGTGAATCTACATGCTTCTTTCCAACAACTTAGCAAACAAACTAGGGTTACCAACTGATAGATCAATATAAAATTAAATTTCAGGATTACAGCACTACGCCGCTACGCCAAAGAGCAGTGGTATGGAAGTGACGCACATCACCAAATGTCCTGGTTCTTGCAGCAGCCTGAAATGGAGAGGAAACTGCCAGGAAATTGATGGAAAATGCAGCTGCGTATATACTATGAGATTCTGTGTGTATATTATATATATGTATATGTATATGTACGTATATTAAGTTATATTATAAGATTAGATGATCTTGCAAAATCTATAATGAAATTTCATGGACGGAATTTGAATCCAAACATAATGTGGGTATCTAAGCAGCAAGAAGGAAAACACTTGGTAATTCTACAAAGAGAACATGTCGATTCTATCCACACAAATTGGTCAGGCCCGCAAATTCAGTTCTGCCAGCAGCAAATCAGGTAAGGATATGTCAAAACCAGCATATGGTACCGAACCCAGGGGTATCCATCCATGCTTGGGGATTTGAAACACGTATGGGTCAAGGCTGAAGGTTAGAACAGAAGGTGCGATCAATTCTGAGCCTACCCAGAAGGGGCGGGCATGTTTCACCAACAAAAATGGGATTACTGTTAGCAATAGTAAACCATCCCCACATTTATTGGGTTTAACCCACATCTTTTTGTAAACGTTGACCCCAGGATACCCGTGAAAATAGATGATTTGCACCAGCTATGTTCTATTACATGAGGGTATAACCCCGCTTGGTCTGTTGAATACTGCGTCATACCTGGTACCTGGTCACATTCCAAAATTGTAGACTTGCATCTTCAAGGGATCTAGCATGAGACTCCAAACTTACCTTGTCGAACAGGAAAAAAACAAGTTCCAAAAGTCATGTTAGGCTCGTCAAACAAGATATTGAAAAGCAACTCCTTAGGGTTCTTGATATGATAGTTCTTTACTTTTTTGCATCTGTTTAATCTCTACAGGGATCACTGCTACATATACTACATAGAATCTTTGGGGTTCTGTCAAGACTCAAAATCCCATGTGGTAGCCTGTGGCAGCACCAGTTTTTTTCCACGTTTAAGTAGCAAGGCTGGGTGTCATCCATTTTGTTCCAAACAAAAATAATAGTGTTAGCTACGTTATGCATGCATCTATATATCCCATCATTATATATGTATATCTATATAATTATATATATACACCCGTTCTCTCTTATGTGCCCGTTATATGCCCACCATTTTACAACAAAATAACCCCAGTAATTCCCAAGTATATTCCCCACTATATTTCCATAAATGGTTGGTTTCATAAGTTTCATATACATGTTCAGTAAATTTTGGTAGATTACATTCCATATATGTCCATGCTATATTTCAATCTAATTTCATATATTACAATTAATTGTACATATTTCTGAACATATATCCCCACGATTTCCACGAATTAAAACACATCTAAAGTTGGTAGTACTCGTTGCTGACACCGGCAATGCGGCAAAGCGCCTATTGAGGTACCTCACCACTGCCTGAGCGATGAAACACCGTGGTTCAATCATAGAAAACAAGGGTATACATGAGGAAAACCTGTGAGTATCCAACGTCCACCTATCTTGTGGGAATATAATGAAATAATCATGTTGATATAATGGCACGTACAACCCACAAAATTATAATGTGTGTGTGTGTCTGAAAAGGGTATGCCCCAAATCAGTGTGGGGTTCCCAACAACTGCATCAGGTTTTTGCCACAGTAACGATTCAAAACTACCAAAATGATCCAAAATGGCGATTCAAACCTACTCAGAATGACTGTCAAGAAACGGGCTGGTGTAGGTTAGAGCAGTTTTGGTAAATGTTGTGGCGTAAAGACATCTAATAGTCATAGTCATAGTCCAAACAAAACATAATTTACAACTGCGGGAACATGTGAGCAACATCATTTTGCCCTCTCCATATATCCCCCATGTATTTATCATCCCTCCGGTAGAATAATATATGGAACATAACCGATAGAATAATAATACAGATCTAATCATCGAACTAACTGTTCATTTTCCATGGTTCTGTTCGTTCACTGGCGGGTATTCACCAATAAAATCCCAATGAAATTCTGTATGAACCATCTATTATTGGGATATATACCATCTATTATTAATTGGGATATACCATCTATTGGATAGATGGTATACCAATGACATCTCAATGAATTGGTATACCATCTATTATTAATACCGTATTGTCTATTCGGCCATGGAAATTCCCTATTTTGTTTCATCCAAACGCATCCCAGAAAAGGCGCCACGGGGCGCCTCCTCTTCCGCAAAAGTCGGAGGAATATCTTCGATCACAACGGCCAAGGACCTGACGAGAAACCCCGCGGCTGGTTTTGTTGGGTCATCCTGTGGGAATCTGATGGAATCTGCCGTGCGTTCACCGGAAGTTTTGCTCAGGCATTGTCAATCTGATCGCGCACATGGAACTTGTTTTGCTTGATTTGTCTTGGTTCTTGGCTGGCTTTTGTTTTCGTTGTTGTCCTTGCCATCCCTGTTGCTCTTGTTGTGGTTATCCGTTGCTTGGTGGCTTCCAAATACGCTGGACCCGTCGAATCCCCAATGCAAAAAACGTGTGGCTGCCAACCACGCCAACCATCAGCTTGTGGCAGAAAACTGAGGAAAAAACATATACAACCATCAGCTGATATAACCCCAACCATCAGTTATATCAACCATCAGCAGATTTGTGAGAAATTGATTGTTACTTGTTGTTATATCAGCGTGAAATCCCCAAGATTTCGATTGGTGAAATCCCCATGATTTCGTCCGATTTGGATTTTTTCCATTGTACCAGTTAAATGAGAAAAACCATCCAGTTGGTTTCACCAGTTGCTTTACCATTGCATGCTAGCAAATCCCCATTCTGTGTTTTTCATCCCCATCATGTGTGGTTTTTTCCCATTAGCTTGTCAATCATATTCCCATGTTTGATTATATCCTGATCAAAGACTGTGGTACACAACAGTGGCAGCAAAGCTTTCTTTCCGAAAGCATTGCAATTCAGAACCGCTAAGTGCAAGAAAGCAAGCAAACAGGCAAAAAAAAAAACTATACATGGTTTGCCTTATACCCCTAATCGAAGTGGCTGTTGAGTAAAACCCAATTTGTATAGTTACCATGATATTTCCATGGTTGAGAATAACCCTCCATCTATATAGTTGTTTCCCCAAATAAACTACCAAAATTCATCCAGTTGTTTTGCCAAGTCCCATTGTTCAGTGGATACCCTCTGGTAAATTAACATAGACCCTGAAAATCAGCAATTATTAATTCTATTTAATTTTCATGGTTTCACTAATCTTCCAACCCCTGGCAGGGTCTATGTTAATTTACTGGAGGGTAAATCCCATCATTGTATTCCCGCATATTCCCCTGTTCGGTGCCTGCGAGTTACAACCCTTATACCATCCAATGACATCACCCATTTCTGGTTCTTACACCGTCACTTTCCCAGCTTACAACCCCACAAATTTCCCACAAATTTCCCATAAAATTGTATAAACTCAAAAAAAAATTACATAAAATAAATCATATAAAATCATATAATATCATCATTTTCCGACACATTTTCTCGTTGCAAAATCCCCAGGTTTGCCGTTGCACGGGTAATTTTCCACCGTGGCCAGGCCGGAAGGCCTGGAGCGCAGCACATCACGTCCACCACCCAAACCGCCAAAGACCATGCTGCGGCCTCGGCGGCGAGGCCGCACAAAGGGGGATGTGTAGAAAATGATGGGATAATCCCTCTGGTAAACATACAAAAAACTATTGAAAATGGTGATTTAGTTCGTGGATTTAGCCATTAATAGCATGGTGATTTTCCATAGTTATGTAAACGTTTACCAGAAGGTATCCCTGATATTCAAATCATATTAAATAAGAATGTTCTGGGAGATGTGGATAAATCGATGTACAAAAAGTAATCTCTGTAGATGATCTCAGATGTGTACTGATAGTAAGAATCTATAATTAGTTGTGTGTAATCATAGATATGTTAGACTTATCCCTAGTACATAATATCTTTGTTATCTAGGGTGATGCATACATAAACAGAACATGTTTTTTGTTTAAAGAAAGTTATGCTGATAGTTGTATATACAGCGCAATAAATACGTACCGCTATAGAAGGTCATGGTAAAATCTGAATCCAAAGTAGTGACTCGGATGATCCAATGACTGTTCATTGCGTGTTCCTTTCTTTGGGGATTACTTGATTACTCTGATTATTACATAGTATTACTCTGATTACTCATTGCTCTATATTTGTTTCATTGCTTTATATTCTACTTTTACTTTTATATACATATTATTGTTTAACAAACAAACATAATCTAATATAATATGTGTACATGGTGGCCTATGCATTCCGTGCTTATCTGTACACTGCATAATCCTGCCCATCTGAGCCATCTGAGCTTGACCGACCGTCTTGCAAGGTCAGCACCTGGTGATTTTGATACTAAACATATGATGATGTATATTTTGTTATCACAAATGAGTATCATGTTTGTTATGATTACTACTATATTGTTTCTAGTACTATTACTGCGATGATTTTTACTAGTGCTTGTATTACTATTGTTTGTATTGCTGTTGTTACCATCATTAATATTACCCTTTTTAATATAATTAATCAACAATTTTTATGTATAATATAGATAGTGATAGGGGCCTGGGTCAACAATAACGTGCGTCAACATGGGGTGACCGTCACGCACTGGCAGGGGATCAAAACTGGCAACCCATCCCCGCACGGCGAAACCACAGCATTTTCCAGGATTTTCAAGCAATCTTTCAGGGATGGGAACAGTACGAAACCATGGAACATGTGTCAAACCCACGAATCAGCCACTAGCTGCACTAGCTCAAAAACTAACAAAACATCAGCCGATTGGGATTCTCATCGGCAGGACAGAACTGACTACCAATCACATGGTGTTTTTTTTATCCCGTGTTTACTGGTTGCATCATGACATCCCAAGGAAATGCTTGGCGTTCTACCCTGATCCAACCTCGAGATGGGATGAAACCAGTTCAAAATCGGATTGTACGTAGCCAAGTCACCACGTAGTGACGTAGTGAAAATCATTTACGTTTAAAATAAGCCACCATATGCTTGCACAGAACACACACACACACATATATATATATACACATACATGTGGGTAAATCAAAATAATGGTCATTGACACTATAAATCACCATCATATCCCAATCATACCATATCATACCCCTATGTTTGATTTGGTGCTTGAACCGCCACTGTTGAATATATCCTCTGGTGATTCAAGAGTTTGAATGACCAATAGAAATAAGTTGTTTTCCATAGCTATGTTAAATAAACAAAGGGTAATGAGCCCAATGATGTCAATTACATCACTATGTTTGATATATCTTGATCCATCCCCATATTATATTCCAGTGTATCCCCATGTATATATATATATGTATATCAATTAGTTGATCAAGTGTATATATTGGTATATATATACACAGTATACAATGATCATAACAGTATACTCTGGGTATTCCAGATATGTATATATATATTACATCCCCATATATCATTGATGTACTAATGGAAATATTTCCGATATTTAAAAACATATGGGCATATAAATGATATACTATATCTTTATATATTCCATGTATTCCCATTATCAAAACATTGTATTCCCATTATATTCCAGATATATGTATATGTATGTATATATATATATATATATGTTTCATCACCATGTATAATTGATATAGTATATATGTATATATAGTAACGTAATGAAGATATATGTTGATCCATTCCATGATATCCCCATCACGAACCATCTACGCTCCACGCTACGCCTGGTGCCCTGCACGTCCTGCTGCTTGCGCCCAGGCAAAGTGTGGCAAAACTTGCCACGTGATGCCGTCCTCAACGGGAAACGCACACCAAGGGGGGTGGATCCAACAAAAATGCTCAATTTAATGGGGTTTAATGCTGGAATTAGTGGGATTTGATAGGAAAATAATAATGATTTAATGGGAATTTAAGCCGACTGATAAAGGTAGCATGACTGACAATATATTTATAGCGGAATAACTCGGAATAACTATATATATATATATTACAGTGATATGATTTCATACGCTGATGTGTAACCCACCAAAACGGGGGATCTCTCATGGTTCTACATTCGGAATACCCACAACAGGATGTAGCAGGCGATGTGCGGCACTCCTGTTGCCAGCAGAAAATCATTTTTTGTTTGGGGCTACCCTCTGGTTATGCCAAAATAGCTATTGAAAATTGCCATTTATAGTGGATTTTCCCATTAGACATGGTGATTTTCCATAGAACACTTCCTTTTTTTGCTGCTCAACTGAACCATTAAACACGTGTTTTCAGTCACCTAATATGATATAATTTTGCTACTTAAACACATTGATTTCTCGAGCCGTTGTACAGCCATATTTCCAAACTAAAACCACCATTTCTTGGTAGTTTTGGCCCCAAATCCACTTCTGAATCATTATTTCCCCTATTGACATATCATACAGCCGGGTAGCCCCCGGATTTCAAATCCATGTTTCGACTATTGTTGGATATATGATATATCCCATTATATCACCACCAAAATCTCATTTGATCATCATATTTGCATTGGTTGGTGGTTGTTGGTTTAATATATTCCCATGAAATTCCCAATGTATTATAAACCATTGTTGTTGGGTGTTATGTCTTAATATATATATATATGCATATATATACCCAATATAACACAATATAATACAATATAATATAATATAATATAATATTCTATATATTGTATTGTATTGTATTGTACTGTATTGTATTGTGTTGTATTGTATTATATTATATTTTATTATATTATATTATATTATATCATATTATATTATATCATGTTATATTATATTATATAAGGTTTTGCAATTGATCTGGGCTGGGGTCTCTGGAAATGGATTCTTGGGTCTTTGAATTGCATTATAGGTACCTTGTTATTTCCCCTATGAGGTAACCAATTGGTTGATTAAATGGGTATCATCTTACCATTGGTTATTTAATGTATGAATTTGTTTTCTACCATGCTCAAAAAATAATCATATGCACATTATTATGTTCACTCTTAGGCAACCAATTGGTTGATTAAATTGGTATCATCCCAGTATGGATTACGATTATTTGTTCTATCATATTCTTTGGATAAACAGGGGTCCACCACTACCATTTCCCTCTAAGGGTACCCGATCAATTGCTGGATTAAAATGGAATAGGTATCATCCCTTTATAGGGTATATACTATATCTATTTGTTTCAACCACGCTCATGTTTCTTCTAGGGTGGTGCCCCCATATACCTGTGGTATAAAGCCACCTATATTATCCCTGATGATCACTCTTTTATTCAAGTACTAAATTTCCCCAGTATTTCTACGTCTACATCATATATCCTTTAAATGCAATGTCCAATTATGAATTTTGCCGAACTCAGGGTGCAGAAATCTGCACCTTGACTTAGGCAAAAAAAAAGTTTTTTGCTGATATCCTAGGTGCCTGGTGGGGTATTGCCTAAGTCAAGGTAAAGATTTCTGCACCTACACTTCGGCAATACAGAGGTTGTACCCTGGGATTTAGAAAAAAAACATGTTTTTTTTGCCGATATCAGGGTGCAGAAATTTACATGTGGACTTAGGAACCAGCCCTACTATTATATTCTACCATGTTTTTTCCCGCAATGGATTCGGGGTCCTTCATTTTGAGATTTAGGCAATATTTTTTTTTGCCGATCTTTTGGCTCGGGGGACCCCAAATCCATCGCCACCGCAAATCCGTCGCATAACAATATCTTATTTTATATGTGATCTAAGTACTCAACCAAAAAAAACATATCTGAACTACGATCGAATTGGTGATCGTTTGTTCTGACTGGTACTTCCACGAGTAGAAGGGTAAATGGATGGAGAGGCTAATTGTCAATCCCCTTCTTGGCATGACTACCGAATGACGGATAAGAATTAATAATATTGAAACAGCCAAGGGAAACTAACCCAAAACGATTTTTCCTTAGGGACAAAAAGCACTAGAAATTATATACCAAGGCCACCTACCTTGATAGATAAGATAGATAAAGAAATAAATGATGGAAAATATATATCACACAATCAGAGGTAGAACTAAATCACCAAGGACCCTAGAATCAAATTCCAAAGGCCCCTTATCGGCTGCAAAACCTTATATATATATATAAATACCACCATTAAATAAAATTCAAATACGTTCTGGTTAAATCACCACCTTGGTTGGGGCTTCACCCCCAATGAAAATACCCTGTCCTGGGAGACCCACGCGTCATAGAGCACCTGGCGAAAAGGATTAACATTGAGGAAAGGTATGAAAATTGATAATGGTAAAAAATGGAAAATAATATATAATAATGATATATAATAATGATGTATATAATATTGACAGTTAACACTGAGTTTCACCATTTGATAATGATGATACGTTATTAACACTGGATCAAAAGTTTAGTACCTGTGTGCACATCAAAACAATTCAAAACAGCTGTGAAACGGATGACAATGGTGTTTCATGTCACCGGCATTGATCCATCACCCCGAACAAGAACAAACTATTAATGTCCATCCTGGATTGCTGCCCACCAACCATGCTGCAGATGCTTTTCCAAGGGCGTCTTCATCAAAAGAAGGTTACAAGAAAAGTCAGAATCATACCATTTTTTAGGGTCGAACAACAACAAGAAACTTATAACATATTGGAATCATGGACATCATTGGCCAAAGTCCTCTCCACCTGTTGGAACAAGATCCCGGTTGACCAAAAATGGCCCGAGAAAGCCGACGACATCAGGGGCACCTGATTCTTTTCATCGCAGCCACCGAACAAAGCCAGCTGGCCACGGAAGGGCACCACCTGCGTCGAGACGCGTCGTGTTGTTGGCGCTGACCAAAAAAACGAAGAGATCTACAAGGAATCATGGGCGAGACATGGGGGTTGTCCCGTAATGTTCTTGCAGAAAACACTTTTCAAGGAGGCTGTGACTGAGGAATTATAAAGCTATTATATACTAGCAGAGAAACTCTGCATGCGTGCAACGGTCACCAAAATCCTAGACTATTTTCAGTGCAGAAGCAAGGGCTCACAGGGAACCAGGGTGGGAGCGATACACTTCCCGTTACCGCTGGATGTTTTTTTTCATATTTCTTGGCTACATTACGCACCCACACCCTTCAAAGCTGACATGAAATCCTTGCAAAAAATAGTTTACCATCAGAAACAACACTGTTGGCTCGTTTCCAGCTTCCATCTTGGATTTCCAGGTTTCCTTCCTCTTGTTGCCTAAGTCATTCCTTTTGTACATCCCAATCTTTACCAGGAAATAATATAAAAACTCTCTACTGTATGTGAGCAGTGGTCAAATCCTCTGCAATCCCTTTACACCGGTTGGTTGATACGGATTCCTATTCTGGGCGAAAATATGTAATCCTCAATCAACCAGGTAGGTTCATGACCCTCTTATCATCATCAACCATCAACCAACAAATCTGAATCATGTCCTTATGTAAAATCCATTTCCTTGGGGTTAAAGAGTGGACTCATGTAAAACCCCAAAGCTCGAACTCAAATCTATAGTGTCTTCTATTCACTTTATACCCAAAAGATATCAGATATTCCTGGTGTCCTAAACTTTTTCATAGGATCGTCCATTCTGAAGCATCCAGCGGGGTACCCCATGGCTATGGAAATTCCCAAACTCCACCTGGTGTTGGGCGCGAGCCGACCAGGGAGCTGTGAAGGGTCCCCGCCAGCCATCTTCTCCTGCGGGCCCACCAGGTCCATGAGACTTTTTGCGAAAAGCGCAGCGGTTGGATCGAGTGTCTATCTTCAGTTTCTATACATGTGTCTGATTGTTTCTATACAATTTTGAAAGATATATATATATATATATAATACAAATAAATAAATATATAAAATACTAATATATATATATATATATTACAATATATATATACTATGTATATATATACTATGTATATATATATATATTATTACTATATATAAAAATATTACTATGTATATATAAATAAATATATATATATATATATAACTATGAAACGTATATATATGGTTACTATATAAATATATATTACTATAAATATATATATATATTACTATATATATATTACTATATATATATATCTCAAAATTACTATATATATATTACTATATATATATTATTATATATATATCACTATATATTATTATATATATGAATTATCTATATATATATATATATAAATATTTATATATTAGTGTATATATATATATTATATATATATATATATTTCTTATATAAATATATAATAATATAAATATACTAATATATATATATATATTACTATATACATATATTACTAGATTTATTACCATATATATTACTATATATATATATTGCTATACATATATATTACTATATATATATTACTATATTTATATATACTACTATATATATATATATATGTATACCTTACAATAAATAAATACACACATATATATAATACAACATATATATATATATATTCTATATATATATATATATATTCTATATATATATATATATCATCATACATATATATATAATGTGTATATATCTACTATGTGAATATATATATATATATATATATTATTATTATAAAATTGTATATGTTTGTTCCGCAAGCTCTAAATCACATTTTTTTCCGGATGAAATAGGGCAAATTGTTGGGTATCCATTTTGAACCCAAATATCAACCCATGTCAGCTTGCACAAGTTCACCACCAGCCCTCCAGCCAGCCGACGCCTAAGGTCGCTTCGCTCTTCCATCTAGAGACATTGCTAGCAGACACCCCGGAGCCCTTGGGGTTCCACTGGCAACCGTGAAGCACCCAACCTTGGAGTCGCCAAAGTTTCCAGTAGATTCCACCGTTTTGGATTACCGTGTCTGGTGTCATCAACCATGGCTGGGAAATCGGGCATTCAAACGGTAAAGTCAGCTGGCAAGTGAACAATTGCCTGACCAGAGGGCAACGAGGAAAATCGACACATCAACGGCGACTCTACAAGATCCAGGCAACAGTCGTTGAAGCAATGATGATTTTCATCTTCTCCCCCGGTGATCCACAGACCTCGCTTGGTGTGGTCCGTGTGAGGCTACCAGTTTTGGACAAAGTCAAAGTCCAAGTGCACATTGTCCCATCTGAGCCATCAAAAATTGCCTCTGTTGATGGGTTAATATTGAGGGTTATACTGACTGGCTTATTCGGGATTGTGAAGTAACCCATACTGGGGACAGGGTATGTTTCATGGCTCATCTGCAAGAAATGCCAAGTTGGCTCATGCAAGTACAGGTTGCCTAGTTAATGGGATTTTGTAAGCCAGCTTAGCCAACGAACTGGGTCACACCCTTATAGAAAAACTGCCCAGAAGCATTGATTCAAATTCGCCACGTGGAAGTTCCATCGGGGGCTGCATGGCAAGGCCTGGACAGTCAGAGCTGTTGCGCGTCCCCAAGTTTTGGCAATGGGACTTTAATCGGTTCAAAATGTTGACCCACACTCACTCCCACATCATCAGTTTCTTTCCGGATTTATTTTATGTGGAAAACTGATTCTATGAACAATTAAGAAAAAACAACCTAACAGGGGCCAGGGGGCCACATGTCGCAGATTTCAGCAGTCAAACTAATGTGGGACTGATTATCAAACACAGCCAAGAAATGCGTTCTCCCAGAACTGAAAACATATTAACCGTTATTTTTCTGGCCATCTAATGATGAGAAATATGATGACAAACTATGACGAAGTGACAAATTACCCCTGGATTTCCGGTCCATACCTGAGAGACAAATCAATATGTCAAAATGTTTTTACGCAGGCTCAAACTGCAGGCGCTGCGTGGTGAACTGGTATTCCAAGGGGGAACTTTTATGAACTTTCAATCTCGGCAGCTCAATCATGTTGAATCACGGCAAATTGTTCACACTGACATTCAGATCATTCAGGTTTTTCTGAAACTTAAGGGATAACCCGCAAAACCCTTGCTTTCCCACTTGGAAAAAAAAGGACACATGGAGGTTTCTTGAAATGGGGGGTCCTTCCCAAATTATCCAAGTCATTAGACATCATCAAACCATGACTTGGTATTGAAATAACCATGGTAACGACTCTGGATTCCCCCCCAACGACGGAAGCCTCTAGCTCGGTCCAGGAGAAACCCCCAGAGTCCGAAACCCAGACATCCTGCGGATGTGCGAGAGGATGGTTGGGGTCAAAGGGTGGTCACTTCCTCCGGCTTCACAGCTGCACTTCTGATTTTCCAGAACCGGCTTCAGTGCTATCTCAAACCCATGTAGATGCATTATCATCATTGTGGAAACCTGAAATTGAGCCAGGAAATAACGACTACAAGACTATGTGCGCATGTGTCTTTTTCACAATAGTGATCACAATGATTACAATATAATACTCACCCCCTCGGACCCCCTCAACAAAAATACTATGTACTGTATATATCTATGTATGACATTGTATGACGTGGGCCCCTTCTGGTATAAGTTAGTCTATAGACCCCACTGAACTTGCACCGACTTAGCTATCATAAATCAGCTACCAATCCCATTAAATCCCATGAAATCCATTTTCTTTGCTGGTGAAATCATTCTATTCCATCATTTTCCCATGGTTTCGTTTTGGGGGGCCCCATCTATCGTACCGTCGTAGCGTTCCCCCGGTCCGTCCTTCAGGGCGCGATTGCCCGCGCCACTGCCACCCATCAGAACCAGATATGGCCTGGCCGGTGCCTTGACTGCTAGGGAGAGCACCATGCAGCGGTGACCGAACCTGCGCCGCGCAGTTTAAGGACGTGATGCAAACTTCTCCGTAGGATAGATGGGATATATATATATATATATATATGTATATGTATATATATATATTTATATCTATATATATATATGGGATATATGGTGTGTTTATATGGTGTGTTAATATGTGTTAACCGAAGGAAGTTTAGAAGTCAAACTTCCGACAATTTGGACAGATGGAACAGCAGAGGTGGGAAGAGCCAGAGAAGAGAAGAACAGAAGAGAGAAGATCAGAGAAGAGAAAGAGTCAGAAGAAAGAAGATGCAGGTGCGCGAAAGGATAGGAAAGTCGAGAAACAATATATTTTTCCAATGATTTGTGGCTCCGGAGGGTCGAAAATAGATAGATAGGTATAGATAGGTAGGTAGGTAGATAGATAGATAGATAAACAGAAAGACAAATAGACAAACAAATGCAGATAGACAGATAGATAGACAACTGCAATTACAACTACAACGGCTACAACTACTACAGCTACACTACAACTGCAGCTGCAACTACAGCTGCAACTACAACTGCAACTACAACTTCAGCTACACTACAACTACACTTCAACTACAACTTCAACTACAACCACAGTTACAACTTCAACTACAACTACACCACAGCTACAACCACAGGTGCAACTATAACTACAACTCCTACAACTATTACAACAATTAAGGCAATTACAACTTCAACTGCACAACAGCAACAACTACAACTACAACTACAACTGCGTCCACAACTACAACATTACAACTTCAAAAACATCAACCCCACTACAACTACAACAACTACAACTACTGCACTACACCACACTACATCCAGGAGTTGTGAGTGAGGTGACCACTGCAACCATTGCAACCACTCCAAAAAGCACAACTCCAACCACCTTTCGGTCCATCAATGGATTCGCTCTGCCATCCATGCATCACAACAACTCACCTCTCCTGTAGTGTCCTATCCTTAAAACTTCCGCCACCGCCTTGTGCGGTACTACTGGTATTACATATTCTATAGATAAATGATTATAATCTGTAATAAACTGTAATAATTAGTTGATGCAATGCAACAGTAGCATCTTTGTGTGAATGGCACAAAAAGGACATGGTTCAGATACTTGGATTAGACAGCTGTTGCCTAGCAATGGCAACGCCATTTCCATGCCTGACTGATAGGTTGTTTACAGGCCACATGATTGTCAGGTGGTGATATGTGAGCAGTGTAATTCCATGCCACAACAAACAGAAAGGCAACCCAATTAGAACATACAGCAACACATCACAAAAACTTAAGGGTAAACTCCAAGCAGCCACACCGTCTCCCTAAAGAACTTGTTTAGTGTATTGGAGGTAGCTCCATTTTTGGCAGCCCACCTTCCAGACCATTTCGGACATGGAAGCTCTTGCCAGGTGAGGCCGAAGTCGGTGGTTTGCCACGCATCTCGAAAGCGCCGGTCGTCATCACCCAGGCCACCCAACAGGATCAATCGGTCCTGGCTGTGCTGGTTGCTGGTCCCCGATGGGCCCCCTAAGGAGTCAATTGCTTCCTGAAAAGTGGTACTGAGCACCCTAAATCACACACACATCATCAGAAGGTACCTGCATCCAACGTACCATAGGGTTACAAGAATTCCGTCCAACCATCTGATGGAAGGTATGTTCAAATCTTTTCCTAGTAGAAACAATCCCTGAACTGGCCCGCCAAACTGAACAATCTCAACGACTCCACAAGGAGTGGAACCATCAGGCTTTGGGCGCATGCCCCGCAGTTATAAGCTGGTAAAATCCCATAAATTTTAGATATATCATGATTTATGTGAATATCTATCATAAACAATAATAGTGAATATCTATCATAAACAATATCTAGATATTCATGTTAATATCATTACCTATCAGTTTATGTGAACCGTTGCTTGGCCAACTTCGCATCCACGTTAACTTCGCCCACGTTTTTGTTGGTGGCCCGGCGCACCTCCCACCACACGACCTGATGACTACTCCGCGGCGGCCATGGGGCGGCTGGGAGATCCTCCCAGTTCTGCCTGGGCAGGTCAGGAATTCATGAGGAAAGAACCGTTTTTTGGCAATATTCTCATATGGTTATGACAATATATACTGTTTATGTAATTTTGTTTTTAACAAATAGAAACTAATTGATATAAATTATATTAGATATAACTTGTTATTTGTTTGTTGGGTTGAGAAGGATGATGTATATACTACATTATGTTAGTATGATATTCATAAAAGTGATGATGCACATTTTGATGCTAATCTATCCATCAACATGTTAGTGAGAATCATCCTGACTTGACTTAGCAATGATAATTATGTTTTTTGTTGGTCTATAACATAACCGCATCCAACTTTCTCATCGATGTGGTCCAGGCATGTCAACTGGGATCACTATAAATCATCTATATATTGGCCATTTTACTTAGAGTAGTGTGTTGACTCGAGGCTAGTAGTTGTCATAATTCTACATAATGTTCATTACTTGTATTGAATTACCACAGTGGTCAAACCTCATCAGAAGGTTTGGTATCATATTTTCCCACCTCAAAAAAAGTTCATTTTGGGATGATGAACCTGACAATAACGATCATTGACAGAGACAATACAGTGAGGTAGGCCAAAAAATCACCCAATTCTAACCCATACACATTTATATGTCATATCAACGTGGTTATTAATAATAAATATGTTCAAAACCTCTTTAACATATCCCTGCCAAATCATTACAGCATATCATAACCATGATATCCCCGTTGTTTTTTTTTGCCGGTTAACATGACGACCGCTTCACCCGGACTTCGTCCGCGGTCAAGTAACCCATCCGTAGAGATCCAGGCGTCTTGCAGGTGCTTTCCAGTCTGTGTACCTCGGTGTGAGCAAGCACATGTTGATATAGTTATCGAGGATGTTCAAAACAGTTGACACTCCAATAAATAAATAAATAAAAATATATATATATATATAGAGTAGGTACACTCAAATTGAGAATATCTTTGAGCTGGAAGGTTGAATTTTGCAAACATATTCCCAATTTCAATGATTATTTTTTGAAAATTCCATATTCTCCGCAATGGATGTATATATATATATATTATATTATATATATTATATATATATTATATTATATATATATATTATATATTATATTATATATATATTATATTATATATATAGATACGGTGTATATAATATATACAGATTAGATCAAATGAATTGGATCAAGGACGGTACCATCTGAGTCAAGTTGGATATGGTACGGTTCGTGAAATCGGTGAAATCCATGAAACATGGAGGGGGTCACCATCATATAAAAGGGTTAAAACCAACCATAGTAACAACAAAATTGCGACCATAAACAAAATACTTGCGACCTGAGTGATCCCCACCAATTTTTAAAAAAGCCAATCTGACATACAGAATGTAACATTCTGAAATTAGCATTATATCTGGCAAATATTCTGAGATTCCATCTGGCATTCTTTGTGGCGTTCTGTTTGGCATTTTATCTGGCATATAGTCTGAGATTCTTTCTGGCATTCTGTTTGGCATGTTTGCTGACGTATATTCTGACATTATCTGGCATTATATCAGGCATATATTCTGAGATTCCATGTTGCATTCTTTGTGGCATTCTGTGTGGCATTTTATCTGACATATATTCTGGCATTCAATTCTATCTGGCATTCTTTCTGGCATTCTATCTGACATATGTTCTGACATTCTATCTGGATGCCGTCCGCATGCCTGAATGTCATTTGGCACGAGCGGCTAGTTTGCATGAGGATTTCACACAATGGTCTGAAGAGATTTTGAGGGTATGGCAAGACTTCATTAGACCTGATATGGCTTTGAATGCTTATCTTGTCCAACCACAGCCACCAGCTATGGAACCTGGAGTACTGGGTCATGTCATTTTGATGCAGCAACCCATCATACATGCTTGCGCTGTGTTGCTCTCGATCTTTGACTCAGCCGTCGCAGAAGGGCAAGTCATGCGGTTTGCTACTTTTGTCTCTGTGCCAGCGACACATGAAAGACTCATAGCAGCGGCCCATAAGGAACATTTGTGTGATCCATGGCAGCTCCAAAATTTCTGCGCAACCTTCCATGGCAACATCCAATTGAGACCTCAGGTTGATTTCCCAGTCGCCAATGGCCATGAGTTTACCTTGGTAATTCGACGCACATTGGAGCAGACAGATTGCAATGAGAAAGCGGGGTTTCCTCAATTTATCCAGCATGCATCTGGTCAGACAGAACCACCGACACAAGCTGAGGACATTTTAGAGAAGTCTCTGGAAGAACATGTCACCACTTGGTTTGTCGATGCAACAAACCAGCCAGTATGCTACAAGCCAAGACTGATTCAGCGAAAGATCAAACAGGACATGACATTGTCAATTGAGGATTTCCGTGAGGCTTGGACAGATTGTTTGCACCCGTCTGATGCAATTTCTCTTGTCAGTATCAGTTTGGATTATGCCAGTAGGATCCATTTTATTGGTTTCCGTACTGCCACACAATCAAATTTGATCCCAATCATTGCCGAAGCAAGAATGGCCGAAACAAGCAGAGTTGAACCAGTCAGAAGAGCTGCACTTGTACCCAATGACAGTACTGTACGAGTTGTTTGGGATGTTTTTGGGGTCGACCATTCCCTAGTTGACCATGAACGAGCCCAATGCTGCAGCTTCACTCGTGATGGTAAGATTTGTGAGCCGAACGATGTGATTGGGCAGGTGGATGGAACTTGGGTTGCTTTTTCATGGGACCCTGTTAGTATTGCCGCTTTGCCACTCAAAGTCGACTTCACTGCAGTCATCAAGACGCATGAGCTCCTTGATACTCACTTTCTTTTGCCCACCTATGACCTGCCACCGGACTACCCATGGCTGCCTGCCAGTTGGGATTGGGTCCAAGGACCGTGGTGGACACCAGGCGGGATTGGACATGAGATTCGACTTTATTATGATGGTTCGAGCTCAAAAAAGGAATCAGGTGCCACAGCAGGTTGTGCGGTTGCTGCATTCATCCGAACTCAGAATGTGTGGTGTTTTGCAGGAGCGCTTTCCACAACATTGCCACAGGGCACTACTTCCTACAAAGCTGAATTGCTTGCGGCAGTTGTAGCACATAAGTTTCTGCATGACCTACTCAAGCTGCTCTCGATCTCTCAAAACTTTGTGCCAGTGGTCGAGCTTTGCTATGACTCCCAGACCGTGGGTCGGCAAGCGGAAGGTTCATGGCAAATTTGGTCTCAACCACGTACTGGCCAATTGCTCAGGAGTCTCCATCACTGGATTGAATATAAGTTCCAGATTGAGTTGCAACACCGTCATGTGCATGCGCATCAGGGTGAGCCTGGTAATGAACTTGTTGACTGCCTTGCCTATCAAGCCGCTGATGGCAAGCCGCTTCATGACTTGCAACCTTGGCTTGACACGGTCACTGAGCAGACATTTGTTGAGTCGGCGGAATGGATGTGGTATTTGTTTCGGCATGATCTCAACTGGGATGGCAGTGTGCTCAACCTTCCAGCCGGACCCAAAACCACTCCTAATGATGCAGTTTTCCAGCCTAGCTTTTCCGGAGAGCAAGCCTCTAGCCCAGACACCAATGCACAGCTCGACGTAAAGCTGGCCACATGCAATGTACTGTCGTTGAAGCCACCATGTCGATCTGCCGGGTCTGATGATGTGGTAGCGAATACCATTGGACCGGCTCGGCAAGATGCATTGTTGAGGCAGTTCCATGAAGCAGGTGTTCATGTTTTTGCTTGGCAAGAAACCAGACTCAAGCGATGTTCCAACCAGCACGATGATAGATACTGGCTCTTCCGCAGCCCTGCTACAGCGCATGGTCATTATGGTACCATCATTGGATTGCAGCGTTTGTTGCCAATTGGCACCATTGGCACAGACAAGATCTACATACATGAGCATGAGGTATCAGTAATCACTGCAGCGCCGAGGGTCCTTATCCTTCGGCTCAATAACCCATTGATGAAATGCCTTCTCATTGCTGCACATGCCCCCCACACAGGGGCGGAAACGGAGTACATCGTGGATTGGTGGAAGGACCTTGCATCAGCAATCCCGGACAAATACCAGAACTGGGATAGAGTCCTGCTCACAGATGCCAACGCGCGAATTGGCAGTGAACCCAACGCTCATGTTGGAGACCACCAGGCTGAGCCATTGGACTGCAAGGCAGAAGGTTTTCTCAACTTTGTCTGCCAACAAGGACTCTGGATCCCCTCCACATTTGCTCAGTTTCACCAAGGACTCGGTGTGACATGGCGGCATGCGAGAGGTCAATGGTATAGGAACGACTTTGTCTGTATTCCGATCAATTGGAATTTCTCGCAATGTACCTCCTGGGTTAGCAAGGAAATTGATGTCGGGCTCACAAAAGAGGACCATTGTGCGGCAATTATCCATCTCAAAAGAGCCTTCAGACCGTACTCCACTACACGGCCTTGTAAGACAGTGAAGCTTAAGGTCAAAGATGTAGCCCCTTGTGAGCTCTTAAGCCTGCAGAAGCCCAGTTGGAATGTTGATGTGCACACGCATGCCTTTGAGTTGCAGCAAGCGATTGTTGATGAATTGTGGGACTCCCAAGTCAAGCCCCACTTTGGAGGCTCCTAGGACTTAGGGGACTTATAAGTTCAAGCTAAGTGGACTTATAAGTGGGGTAAGTATATGTTAAGTAGTGGTTATATGGCCTAAGTTGTTGCTATGCTATGCATCGCTTAGGTCGAACATAAGGGGGACTTAGGTTACTTATAAGTGGAAGCGTCTACAACATGACAAAAGATAGGTTGAACTTAGCTTTCACTTAGCTTTCACTTAGCTTTTTTTTGAAAAGGATGTTTTGGGTAGTTTTTTTGAATTTGTTGTGAAAAAGAACATGTTTTTAGTGATATGTCAAGTATGATGTATGACTTTGAAATAGAATATTTTGGAGGATGGCGAGCAGTGTGATGTCACACGTTTGCGCAGCCATTGGATAACTCGGTGGAGCCATATATGTTGCCGTAGTCATGGCTGTGTGTATGAAGCAGCTGCAGGCGGCGCAAAGATTCCTAAGTGGAATTCGCGAGTTGGCGACGTATGCCAATTTTGTTGAGAAGCAGGCTGCTGGCGTAAAGAAATCTTTGGAAAAAATGTCGGCAGTGAGTCCAGGGGAAGCCGCAGGAATTCTTGGAGCAATAGATCCACAGGTCTGGAGCCCTTCCCACGTGGAAGGGTTTCGGTTGCTTTTGGCGAGCAAGACGAAAGCTGTGGTTGCAGATAATGTGCGTACGACGCAGCAAGATTTTGCCACTTTGCCTTTTTTTTTGACTGAAGAATTATGTCAGAAAATTTTGCGTGAGGGTACTGACAGAGATCAGTTGCTTTTTGACCTGTGCGCCCACGCGGCGAAGCTGACGTTGCGGGTTGCAACGGAAGGTAGCAAAGCAACGATTATCGCGTTGGCCTACTGGACACAGTTATGCCAAGGAATGACTGCGAAGGAAAAATACAACTTGTACCTGCAGAAGAAGCCCGTCGTGACAAAGTACTTGTCTGTGCCGCCATCGTCCACGACCATTTTGGAGTTGCCCGTGTCATGGAAAGATTTGCCCAGTGAAGTTGCACAGTCCGTGTTTCCTACGGGGAAACCGATGGAGCGGAAGGAGTTTGCTGCTGATGTCATGCAATTCGTGCGCAACATGCCTTTGCGAAAGGATCATAAACTTCTGCAGGGGGAAGCGGACATCGCTGCAGGTTCTTTGTCCTCAGGGTCTGCATCATCTGGCTTAAGTGTGGATGCAATCTGCAAGGTTGTCGAAGCATGTTCGCGGGGAATGCAGAATGCTGGAAC